GGGAGATAACTCTGTGTCCCTTTTCCTGTTGTCACATCCCTGTGGGACAGGGAAGGTGGAGGTGAAGCCAAGGGCTCAGAGCCCCGGAGCGGGCAGGGTTGTGTTCTGACCCAGAGCAGGTTTAACTCACCCACATGAGCTCTTACAAAAGGCACAAGGGGTAAAAACACTCCCATTTCCATTCAGATAACAAGGGAAGCTCTGCTGGAGCTGCAGCCTCTGGAGCAGCAGCTGAAACTGGAGAGAAGGCCAGAGATCCCAGGCCCGCAGAAACAGCACTGGGCGAAGGAGATTCCCAAAATCCCCCTGTGTTTCTTTAGCATTTTGTTTTTTAAACGTGTCCGGAGCATCTCTCAAACATCGCAGCAGGTTGGGGAAGTACCAAGAGGTGCTCAAACTGTTTTGGGATGCAGGCTGGAGCAGAATTCCATACCCCAGCCGTGGAGCAGGAAATGCCTTTGTGGCGAGCGGCTGCTGCCACCGGCTGGTCCCCGCCCTCCACTGCTCCTCTACAGAGCTGGCCGAGTTCACATTTCCATGCTCATTTCCATGCTCATTCACCCAGCCTCTATTTTGCCCTTTTTTTTTCCCCCCCACATCCTTTTTTTAGCGCTGTTTCCAAACTGCAGTTCACATCTTCAGAGCGGAGGGAAGCGCGAGAACCCGGAGAGGAAAAAACATCTTTAATGAAGACTTTGCAATCTTTTTCTACTGAAATATTTTTAATCCACTTCTGCCTTTCTGGCTCCTTTTTTTTTATTTCTTTTTTTTTTTCCCCATTAGTGCAGGTGCTCTTTCCCACAGGATTTTTGGGGCAGAGCCATTCCAGCCCTGATGCTGAGTTCTTTACCCAAATGGTGCTTGTGGGTTGCAGCTCTTTGTAGGCTTTGCTCCGTCACAAGGTGTGCTGAGTCGTGACAGGAACAGGCTTTTTAAAGCTGTTTGCTTTGAGCTCTCTTGGCACATTCAGGCGAGGCTTTTTCTCTGCTTTTTTTTTTAAAAAAAAAAAAAGTATTTAAAGTGCTGGGACAATTTTTGCCGCTGTGCTTTAATAGGATTTGCAGCTGTGAATGTGCTTTAAAAGGATTTACAGCTGGGTTGAAGTGTCCCCTCGCTTAAAATAACGTCACAGCTTCGTGATTCAGGAGAATGTGCCTCCCACTAGTTGCTTTGGGAGTGCTGGGGAGCACAAGGGGAATAGGAACAACTCTGAAACTTTTATTTGTGGCTAAATAAGAAGCATAACCCCGTGGCTGGGGACTGGAGCTGTCAGTGAGTGTGTTTGGAGCTTGGGTTTTGCCCTGCTGGTGACTCGCTTCCTGCTCTCCCGTGCAGTTTCAGCCTGGCAGGGCTTTTCCTCCATCAGTAAAAGGGCAATAGAGACCCCTCTGGGTGATTTTTAGACTGCCAAGCGATCGATTTGGGGACCTTTATGTGTTACAGAGTGCCAGGGCAGACGGAAGTGCAGGATGTGGTGTCACTGGGACCCGGTGAGAGCTGTGGGTTGCGTGTTTCTCAAACTGAAAAGCAGTTGGTGGCCGGGGGAACCAACGGAAGAAATGTCTTATCTCAAAAACCTGCACGGCAGATCCCACCCCCCTCCCCTGGCACGGGGCCAGGGGCTCGGAGCTGGGCCACCACCTCATCCAGGACGTACAGGAATTAAAGTGGGGGGGCTCCACAAGGAGTTTTAAATCCTGCAGGTGGGATTTGCAGGGAGGAGGTGGATGAGAGCCACCTCAGCACGTGCAGTGTGCTTTGCCAGGCAGGTGCCCGCGCTCTGGAGTCAGGAGGCTTTGCCAAAATACTGGAAAACTGCAGGTGGTGAGGGTGGAGGGGTGCAAAATTTGTGTCCTGGAGGTGCTGTCTGTGCTGGGGGAAAGCTGTGTACCTGTGTACCTTCCTCTGACAGAGATGGTGCCATGGAGTAAATGCTGAGCTCATCCACTCTTGGCTCTCCGGGGGCAAACAGCAACTGCTTACACGGGTTTTGCGCTCAGAGTCCACATGAATCCTGTCTCCATTCCAAGAAAAAGAGGTTTAAATCTCATTCACTGCACTGGAACTGGATGTGTGTGAGGAGGCTTGGCGGAGTCCTGGCTCCAGCTGCCGGTGTTCCTGCTGAGGCAGCTATGGAGCCTGTCTGCTCCAGGGATTTACTCCAGTCCGGTGAGGAATGGGCTCAGCGTACATGACATAACCTCTCTCCCTCTGTGTCCTAGCCAAGGTTAAGAAGTCAGGGAATTTTTTTTTTTAATAGGAACAATATCAAAGAGGTCTCTGCGTCATCTCCCCATCAGTGACTTTCCTGTTCACAGAGATTTGCACCCTTTGAAGTGCCTGATAGTAAATAAAGGCGCATCATTTATAAATGAGGCTGAAGCCAGAAATCCCTTTCTCTGTCCTCTCTGTTTATCAACCCAGGCTTCCCAAACCGGAGGGAGAATTCCCCTGACATCAGTGACCTACTGAGGCAACTTCCAAGCATGGAATGGAGCTGGTGAGGAGGGAAGACCCCCAGCTCCGGGAGGTCGTGTGGTTCGCCGGGCGCTGCCGAGCCCTGACACTGCTACTGCAGGCAAGTGTCCTGTCCCTCAGCCAGAGGGGCTGGGACAGCTGGAGTTTGCTGCTCCCAGGCTTCTCTCCTTGGCACCTCTTGTGCTCCATGAGGTGCTTCTGCTCGATGGGGAAACCTGGAGGCTGCAGGGGTGCCTGGAGTGAGCATGTGTGGCTTGAGCAGCTTTCCCTGGCCAGTTCCACGGGGATTCATCCTGGATACATCCCATAGCTTTATTCTGTTCAGATACAAAAAAACATTGTGTTTGCCCCTTTTCCCAACCTCACAGGCCCCTCAGCCTGACTTTGGTGCTGCTCTTATCCCTTTGTTCGAACCCCAGGAGTTCTCCTGCCCGCTGCTTTCGGTACCGGAGGATCCCTGCCGCTCTTCAACCCTCTCTTCTTTTTCCCAGGCTGTCTTTAACCTGCTGATCCCGGATCACGCCGCAGACGCCTTCTCTCCCCCTCGGCTGTCGGAGCCCAGCCCGTGGGATGTGCTGGTGGAGTGGCTGCTGGGCGGGCTGTCCCACTGGGACGCAGAGCACTTCTTGTTCATCGCGGAGCACGGATACCTGTACGAGCACAACTGCGCCTTCCTCCCGCTGTACCCCCTGAGCCTGTGGGCCGTGGCCATGGGGGTCCTGTGGCCCCTGCAGCGCCTGCTGCGGCTGCGGAGCCGCCTCCTGCTCTCGGCTGTGCTGCTGAATTCCCTGTTTTCCGCCCTGGCAGCCGCTGCCCTGTACGAGCTGGGCCGCCTCGTGCTGCGGCGGCGCCGCGTGGCTTTCCTCGCTGCCCTTCTCTTCTCCCTCAGCCCTGCCAACGTGTTCATGGCAGCTGCTTACTCGGAGAGCATGTTTGCCTTCCTGGCATTCGCTGCCATGTGGCAGCTGGAGAAGGGGCAGAGCTGGCTCAGTGGGCTGCTCTTCTCCCTGGCTTCTGGGGCGCGCGCCAACGGGCTGATTAACGCTGGCTTCTTCCTCTACTCCCAGGGTAAGCGCTTTGCCCTCCAGCTGCAGGTGGGACCAGGATCCCTAAGGAAGCTCCCTCTGCTGTGGAAGCAGCTCCTTAGCCTGGCATCTTCAGCGGTCCTGATGAGTGCTGGCATTTTTCTGCCTTTTGCTGTGTTTCAGTACTTTGCCTACGTGAGGTTCTGTGCTCCTGGCGCCGGCCTGGATCGGACCATTCCCGAGCCACTGCTGCAGCTGGCTCGGGACAAGGGCTATCGTCCAGCAGCCATGGATGGGGATAAACCCCCTTGGTGCTCCCAGAGGGTCCCTGTGGTCTATTCCTACATCCAAGACACTTACTGGAATGTGGGCTTTCTAAGGTACTTTGAGCTCAGACAGATCCCAAATTTCTTGCTGGCTTTGCCTGTGACCCTTCTGGTCTCGTGGGCTGCCTGGACCTACGTCAGCACAAACCCCTGGCACTGCCTGACTCTTGGTCTGGAGAGAAGTAAGAGCGAAGAGGAGGAAAAGCCAAGAGATGGATTTTGCTGCCCTGCTGCCTTCGTGTACGTGGTCCATGCCACGGCCCTGCTGACCTTTGGATTCTCCTGCATGCACGTGCAGGTAGGACACTCATGGCACACATTCCTTATGGGGTCTGAGGGAGTGACAGGCACAGCCCAAAGCTGTCCCAGCTGTGGGGCAGCACAGGGGAATGGAAACCAAAAGCTTTGCCTTTCCTCTTTGGGAGCTACTTCCCCAGAGAATCCAAAGCCAGTTAGTTCCTCTGGAGAGTTCCCAAAGAGCCTGCTGGGTGCTCAGTGTGATGGGGACACGGTGACAGGGATCAGTGGGTCTGGTGTAACCACACTGCTGTCCTTGGAGGACAAGGATACTGGATCCTTGTCGTGTTGGGCCGAGCTTAATGGATGGCAGTGGAAAGATCCAAAGCACAGCTGGTGGCACCAAAGTTTGGGAGTTCCAGTAAAAGAATAATCAAAATTGGTGTGATTTTTGCTCTGCCTGTTGTCTCCAGGTGCTGACCCGGTTCCTTGGCTCCTCCTCTCCCATCCTGTACTGGTTCTCAGCTCACCTGCTTCAGGAACACGAACCTTTACTCTGGAGTGCAGGGACTGATAATCCACCCCCTGGGAGGTCTGTCCTAGGCAAATCTCCCAGTTCCTGTGGGAAAGGGACTCCTGACAACCCCGTTGTGAGGCTGCTGCTGAACTGGCGATTAATTACCCCCCTCAGCAAGGGCATCCTGGGATTCTTCCTGTGCTACTGGCTGCTGGGACTGCTCCTGCACTGCAACTTCCTCCCGTGGACGTAGCAGGATGTGCTGGCCCAGACTGGGAGCGGTCAGAATCGAAACTCACTTTTTCTGGAAGCCTGAGGTAGCTGTGATGCTGCTGCTGTTGCAGTTACAAAGGTGTTACTCCTCCGTTACTACGTGTGTACGGAGCTGCTGTGTCCCTTTCCGGGGTGTGATGGTGCAGTGTCCTGCTCTGCTGTCATTACCGACGGCCAGAATTCCCATTCCCTGGGACGGGAATGCACCTCGCTTCCTGCATCTCCTGCAGGAGATTTATGGCAGGGAATGATTTATGGCAGGACCCGCGTGATGGATTTGGGAACCCTCTGGGGCGTTGTTGGTGGGCACAGCTGGAGGACAGGGAGGATCCAGCTGCTGTGAGCAGCTCAGACTGCGCTGGTTCCTTCTCCACGCTCCGAGCCGGGCTGGGGGTGCGGGAGGGGTGGCAGGGCTGGGGCCGGTGTGTTTGGGAACTCGCACATCCCTAATAAACACGTGAAAGTTACCGGAGGGGCGGCTCACCCCCCTGTGCTGGGCAGGGGGCGGCGTTGGGGTCGAAGGTCCCGAGGTTGGGATTGGGATCCGAGGTCAGGGTTGGGATCGGGGTCAGGGGTCCTGGGGTTTGGATGGAAATTGGTGTTGGGATTGGGGTCCGGGGTTTCGGGATCGGGGTCAGGGTTGGGATCGGGATCGGGGTTGGGGTTGGGATTGGGGTCTGGGGTTTCAGACTCAGGGTTAGGATTGAGGGTCCCGGGCTCGGGCTCAGGGTTGGGATGGGGATCAGGGGCCCTGGGATCGGGGTTGGGATGGGGATCAGGGGTCTCGGGCTCGGGGTTGGGATGGGGATCAGGGGTCTCGGGGTTGGGATGGGGACCGGGTCTCGGGGTTGGGATGGGGATCAGGGATCTCGGGTTGGGATGGGGATCAGAGTCCCGGGCTCGGGATGGGGATCAGGGGTCTCGGGGTTGGGATGGGGACCAGGGGTCTCGGGTTGGGATGGGGATCAGGGGTCTCGGGGTTGGGATGGGGATCAGAGTCCCGGGCTCAGGCTCGGCGGTCCCGGTCGGAGGGCGCTCCGGTGGCCGGCAGGGGGCGCTGTGCGGCGGGGCGGGCCCGGGGCGCGGGGCGGCACCGGCGGGGCCGGAGCGGGGCCGGGCCGGGAGCGGGGCCGGGCCGGGGAGCGGCGGGCCGGGCCGGGAGGCGGCAGGGGCCGGGCCGGGGCTCCGGGCGCCGCGGCGGGGCCATGAAGGACTGCGAGTACCGGCAGATCCCGCCCGGGGCGGCGGCGGCGACTCCGGGCCCGGGCACAGCCGCCTCGCCGCCCCCGCCGCCCGCCGTCCCCCCGCGGCCGCGGCGGCCCCGCAGGAAGTGGGAGGTGTTCCCGGGCCGCAACCGCTTCTTCTGCGGCGGCCGCCTCATGCTGGCGCGGCACAGCGGCGTCTTCGTCCTCACCCTCGGCCTCATCCTCGTCACCAGCGGCCTCTTCTTCGCCTTCGAGTGAGTCTGGGGGCGGTGAGGCCGTGCGGGGGCTGTCCCTCGCCTCCTTCCCCGCAATCAGCCCTTGTCCCCTCCTCTTTGAGCCCCTCCGTTCGGGGGAGCTGGGGGTTGGTTGGCATCCCACCCTTGTCCTCGTGGTGGAGGGAGGTGGGCTGGGGGGGCACCTTCCCCCCTCCGTGGGAGCCCCGTTATCCCCTCCTTTCTCCCCACTGACCCCTCCAAGCCCTTTCCCCAGTGCACAGCCCCCAGACCCCCTTTGCAGACAGTCACTGCCCCCAGACCCCCTTTGCAGGCAGTCACTGCCCCATCACCTGTCCCCAGGTGTGTTTATGGGGGCCCAGAGGTTCCCCTGCACCTTGTTTGCTTAGTCTGGCCCCGGGAAAGGGTTTAACATCTCCTCAGGATCCCCCACGGTCTCTAAATAAACCCCCCCACCCCCGACCCAGTGTCCCCTCCTGCTCCCAAGGACAGACCTGGCCCAAAATTGCAGCCCGGGAGCCCCCGAGGCTGGTGGGCTTTGCCCACCTGTGGGATCTCAGAACAGTGTTTCTGTTAAATGGTGAAATCCTTGGGGGGTCCCACCTCGAGGGTCTGCACTGGAGCTGTGCCCATGTTGTGCAGCCGTGTCCGGGAAGAGGGAGCTGCATGTCCCCAGCCCCCTTTCCTTTGGAAAGCTGCTCCAGGGAAGCTCCCTGCTCCTGCACCCTGGGAGAGGGGAGAGCCAGGAGCACCCCGGTATGTCCTGTGCTGCCCTGGGGAACCAGGGAAGGAGCACCGTGGGTTATTGGCACCTCAGAGGGATTCTGCTGTCCTGCCTCGGGAGGGAAGGGAGATGCTTTTCCCTGGAGCGGGAGGGCAGTGCCTGCCTTTGGACTCCCTGCAAGTCTTGGAGTAAAGCTTGCGGAGCCTGCTGGCGGTGAGATGAAGGCATTTGATCGGATTAGAGGTTCTGTGAAGTCAGATGAGCCGAGAGGGGCAGGCAGCTGCGGGAGGCAGTCACAGCATCCCGCTGGAAAAACTCATTTCTTCGCGTCATCCGTGCCCCTGACAGCTCCCTCCGCTGGGTCTGGGACTAACGGGCAGCTCTAGCACAGTGGCTGCTTTGTGTGGCCGGGCAGAGGACATCTGCTCTGCCTCCCTCCTTGCCGAGTCACTCTCTTGGGGTTGAAGATGCCCTGGGGCTTTCCAAGTTGTTATTTTAGCAGGATGCCTCCGTGTCACGGGTTACAGTTTGCTGGATTTGCAGCAGGCTTGCTTGTGTCTACGCTTTGTGGTTTTTTGGGGAAAACCTGGAGCAGGTTGGCCAGAGAAGCTGTGGCTGCTCCATCCCTGGAAGTGTTCAAGGCCAGGTTGGATGGAGCTTGGAGCAATCTGGGATAGTGGAAGATGTCCCTACCCGTGGCAGGGGGTGGAACTGGATGATCTATGAGGTCCCTTCCAACCCAAACCATTCTGGAATTCTCTGATTGATGTGATTTCTTGTTCCCTGATGGGGCTAAGTGGGTGCCAGAGATTCTCCCAGGAAAGGGGTGACAACAAGATCACGTCTCTCCTTTCACAGACCTTTCTGTCCCTCTGCCAGAGAGACAACCAAGGGGCTTGGGCTGAAGGGGCTTTGTTGCTTGGTGGCTGCTTTGTTCTGGACAGCTGAGCTCAGGAGGTGAAACAAAAGTTGCTTAATCCTCTCAAAACTGCTGCAGAGCATTGCTGAGCCTGAGCACTGCCCACAGACACCAGGGCTGGGGCAGCCTGTCCGTCTGTGCAGGGTGTGATCAGTGCCTGTGACAGCAAACCCCTCTGCAGGAGGGGCCTGTGGCACTGTGTGTGTCCTCTGCTGTCCTCACCTGCCACCTGAGAGTAACGGAGCTGCCCTGGTGTGGAGTGTGATCACACCAGTCCTCATGCATGGAAAAACAGCCCCAGGCCGCAGCACGGTGAGCCCAGGAGTGGCTGTTGACTGCAGAGATGCCTGGTGGCTTGTCACAGCGCCCAGTGCTGGAAGTGTCCTCATCCAAACATCTGGCACACCAGGAAGGGCACATGAGTCATCCAGAGATGGCAAAGCTGCGTTGAATCGAAGCCAAGATCCCCCTCAGCATCATGTGTGATCCAAGAGGGATCGTGGTCACGCTGATTCTTGTCCCTGTGTGGCTTGGGCTGTTTGTCTGTGTGTTCCTGGTGGTGCTGCTGTAGAGGTGACCAGGCTTTGGGGCAGCTTTGGGGGTTTTTGAGAGGTGATTCTGGTACTTCAGAAGACAAAAGAGGTGGCGTGCAGGGGCCTTGGTGTGTCTTGGTGCCCAAGAGCCAGCACCACTCCAGCTCTTGCTGTTCATAGAATCAGAATATCCAGAGCTGGAAGGGACCCACAAGGATCATTGATTCCAGCTCCTGGCTCTGCACAGGACACCCCCAAAAAGGTTGATATCCCCAAAAAGTCTGTCATACCCAGAGGTCTCCGCAAAGCAGCAGTGCTTGAGCCCGCTACCCCGTGGTAATTCCTGGTGGGAGCGTCCCAGCTGGCACCTGGTTCTCTACAGTGATTGATAACAATGCCATTTTATCCATGTTTTTAACAGCTGCCCCTTCCTTGCCACTCACCTGACCTTGGCCATCCCCATCATCGCCGCCGTCCTCTTCTTCTTTGTCATCAGCTGCCTGCTCCAGACAAGCTTCAGAGACCCAGGAATCCTGCCCAGAGCCACCCCAAGTGAGGCAGCAGACCTGGAAAAACGGATTGGTGAGACCTGTGTTCCCTGTCCCCTGTTTGGTTCCGTGCATGGCTGCGTGTCTGTGCACACACACATTCCAGTGAGCCCCACTTTTTGGGTCTTGGCTCCTTACTGGTTGTCCAGAGGGGGAGAAGAAATCAGAGTATCAGACTGTGAGGCCTGGTAAGAGGTGCAACAAACTCCTCCAGCACAGCAGGCAGTGCTTCAGAGAGGACCTGCAGAGCATCAGGGGAGGTTTTTTTTTTGTTCCTGCTCAGTCCCATCGCCTTCCCAGGCAGCAAAGTTGAAGGATAATTAATGCTTTTTAAGACCGTGCTTTGCCATTGAGCCTGCTGTGCTGCAGGGTGTTCTTTAGTGGAGGCTGATGTTTGTCCTCCTCTGAAAACTGCTCTGTCACGCTGGTTTGGGGACAGCCAAGAAGGTGTTTGCATGCAGGAGCTTTGGACCTTGTTGGTGTGACTGATTTTAACAAATGTTTAGCAAAGCTGATGTGAGGCAGCTTGAGTCTGTCCCTCTGAAGACAGTTGCAAGGCAGTAATTCTACATCTGACTTAAAAAATGGGTTTAAAATATCCCCGGAGTGGTGATCCAATGTTTCTATTTATAAGGGCCCAAAGCAGTAATCTGGCTGCAGATGCTGCCTGATGTGCCAGCTGTTCCTGTTAATATAATCCACTTATTATCCTCTTAACATGCTCACTGTTGCATGACTGTTTTCAAAGACTCCCTCAGAGCTGGGAAGGTGCTCTTTTGGGAGGGACTGAAAGGAATAATTCCCAAAATTGCAAACACAATGCAGGGGTTTTTCCAGCTTTTGCTGTGCAGGGCAGCAGCCTCCAGCTGCCAGTCCCCAGGGAGTAATGAAGTGGCATCACACACAGATATAACTTGTGTTTTTAGAAATCTTCAGTTTCCACCTTGGGGAGGAGGAAGAATCCTCTCATGGCTACGAACACACACACCCCTCAAATCTCAGGGAACCTGCTGGAGCATTTGGCACCTGCGGTGATGGAAATGAGTTCCCTTGAGGCTGGTGGTGCCACAGCTCCAGCTGTGGGGTGGCAGGTGGTGTGCTGGCAGTGGCAGGGATGCTCCTGCTGAGGCCACCCTGACTGCTGTCAGAGCAGAGGAGGAACCACACACGCATTCACGGATGTTGTGACCCGCTGGACACGCAGAGACGAGCTGGGCACTGCTTTACACTCCCTATTTCCAAACTGCTTGACGTTCTCACAGCACTGGGCACTTGCTGCTTCCTCTTGGCATCCCAGCAGCGTTGCCACTGAACAAAGGGAGGACATAAATAACGCTGTGAGGAGCTGAGGGGAGTTCCTGGCTGCCTCTTGGCTTTCAGGAGCACGTGCCAGTCCCTTCCCTGTGCCAGGAAGCAGCTCAGGAGGAGGGGAGGGGGTGCCTGCAGGGTCTGAGTGTCCCTCCTTGCCCTTGCAGACAGCATGGGGACCTCCACGTACCGCCCTCCCGCCCGCACCATGGAGGTGGTGATCAACAAGTACGTGGTGAAGCTCAAGTACTGCTACACCTGCAAGATGTTCCGCCCCCCGCGCACCTCGCACTGCAGCGTCTGCGACAACTGCGTCGGTGAGCAGGGCAGGGGCAGAGGGGCTGCTGTCCCAGGGGGAAAAGGGGGTTAACTGTGTGTTCAGAGGAGATCTTGAGCTGGAAGGGTCATCCAGTCCAGCTCCTGGCCCTGCCCACGACACCCCAGCAATCCCACCCTGTCCCTCAGAGCGTTGTCCCAGCGCTCCTTGAACCTTGGTGCTGTGCCCACTGCCCTGGGGAGCCTGTTCAGCGCCCCAACACCCTCTGGGGGCAACACCTTTTTTAAAATTCCAACCTCAACCTCTCCTGACACAACTTCAGTACCATTCCCTTGAGTCGTGTCACAGATCCTGTCACTTGTGTTCCTGGACAGATTGCTTTTTCTTCTAAAGGATTATAAAACAAAATAATGGGGGGGTCTGTCTCGTTCCCATTTACAATGAAAGCAGCACCAGTGCAGTGGCTCAGGTCCAAGGCTCTGTGTCTCTGTTTTTCCTGCTTCTTGAAGGATGGTACTGAAAAATGCAGTTCAGGCCTCCACTGAACGAGGTTTGCTGCAGGCTCCTTGCTGTGGGTGGCCTTGCTGTCCCCAGGCTGGCAGAGACACCATCATAGCTGCTGGTGTTTGGGGATAGCCCTGGGTGGCTGTGCCTCCTCCTGAGGCTGGAAAGCAGCGCTGTTTGCAGAGGAGGTGTCTGGGGGAGCGGGCTGTGCTGGGGGTTGTGTTTGCAGTGATGCTCCCCGTGAAATGGTTACCACAGTCTTGTCAGCCCTTTCATTAGGCTGTTTGCAGATACACTGCACCTGCCCCAGGTTCCCAGGCAGTTTCTGTGGGCTTAGAGGTGTATCTTTATAACTTTCTGCCCCTGAGAAGGAGGGGGGAGCTGACACACCAGGAGGGAGCAGCGGTTGCCACGTGCACACACACCCAGCGCCGCTGGGAGCTGGAAGAACTCCTGCCCTGTCCCTCTTCCCTTTCAAGCTGTAGTGATAGTTACCAGTCACAAGGCTTGTGTTTAACAGGTTGTGAGAGGAAAGGTTTGATGGCAAAAAAGACCATGTGAGCAGGCAGCAGTGCCCCACTGAAACTTTGTGCCTACGTGCTGCTGCTGCTGCTGCGGAGAGGTTGTGGTCTCCGGATGGTGGGTGGAAGCTCGATTTGTAGCTCCTCGTTTTTGGAGTCTGAGCAGAGTTTGTGCTCCACTTTGGGGTTGAGGTGGCAGGAGTCCTCACTTTGTCCCTCACGTGCCCCTGTGTTCCAGAGAGATTCGATCACCACTGCCCCTGGGTGGGGAACTGCGTGGGGAAGCGCAACTATCGCTACTTCTACGCCTTCATCCTCTCCCTCTCCTTCCTGACCGCCTTCATCTTCGCCTGCGTCGTCACCCACCTCACCCTGCGTGAGTACCACAGGTCCTGCCGCTGCTGTGTGCTGTGCTCAGGGCCACCAACAACCTCAGGCAGCTCTGGGTCACTGCTCCTGTTGGGACAGAGCATGGGAAGGGCCTGGTTGGGTTACACCAGGGTTTTGAGCGTGGGTCTCAAATAAACGGGGCCCCAGACTTCAGGGAACCACAGATCCACCTGCACCTTGCTTGCTTGAGAGCTGGGGATGGAGTTCTCCCCACCCAGAGCAGATGAGCTGGTGGTGAATCCACTCCTAACCTGACAGGGAAGGTGACATTCCCATCAGCCCCAAATCTCCTGGAGCCGTGTGTGTGCTCTGACATTTCTGCCAAGTCCCAGACTGCAGATGTTGCTCAGGCAGACAGGCAGATCCATAAGGCTCACAGGGAGGTGTCTGCCTGCTCAGGAGGGGAGTTTTGGCTGCAGAGGCAGGGCTGCCTGATGGGATGCCATTCCTTGTCCCTTTGCTTTGCAGGCTCTCAGAGGGATGGATTCCTGGCCACTCTGAAGACCACACCCGCGAGATATCCTTGTGCTGCCAGCAGCTGCTTGGGGTGCCCAGCACTGGTGCAGCAGTACTAATTAAACAGGGAGGGGCCAGCAGCTCTTTGTAAGGGTGGGTGGCAAACTTGTTTCCCAGTTTGCAAGTTTAGATGGAGAGGGAAGCAGCTGGAACGGGCTGTGCCTTGGTGGATCCCTGCAGACCGGCTCAGGGAATGGGAAGCTTGCCCAAACCTCCCCAAACAGTCCTCTGCCTCTCCTTGCAGGATGATTTTGTTCCTTGAGAGTTCCTTGACTTTTCCTTCACTGTGCTGGAGCTGGTGATCTGTTTTTTCTCAGTCTGGTCTATTTTGGGCCTCTCAGGTTTTCACACTTATTTAGTCGCCTCCAACCTGACGACGAATGAAGATGTAAGTACCTTGTCCTTCTGTATCAGTACCTGGATGCTCCTCCTTCTGCCAGGCTGTCCCTGATCCACCCTGAGCAGGTTTTCAGGGAATCCTTGGCTGTCTCAGTGCAGTGTTTCTGTAAGATGTGCTGCCTGTGGTAACCCACTGCAGAGCAAGCAGCCTGAGCCCAGGGCATTCAGGCTGCAGTTTCAGGTAGCTGAGTTAGAACCATCACGTGTGTGTTTTTTCCAGTCTGTTTGTGGCCTTGCTTAAAATTAGGAGTTCTGAGATTAAAAAAGGGAAGGCTGGCCCCAGAGATTTATTTGATGATGTGAATTCAGCATCCTGTGTAACCACAGGTTTCCTCCAAGACCCTGGGCGAGTCCCTTTGTCTCTGGCGGTTCCCCATCTCTAATTAGCAAATAATGCACAGACATCTGATGAGATTTACCTTCAAATCTGACGTGCATGCAGACTCCAAGGGCCAAATGAGTGCCCTGAGTGGGGCAAATTGAATGGAAAAGCAGGATCTGTCTGATCCTCGGAATCAAAATTCACCCTTCTGGCCAGAAGTACCTGTAATCCTTGCTGGAAGCTTCCAGCACTGCAGAAGGCAGGTTTGCATCCCTTTTTTTATTTTTTTTTTTGGCTCTTTCCCCTTTCCTCTCCACTTGAGGTGTGGCAGAACTGCTCAAGGCTGTGTAAGTGAAGCTCATGCAAGTTGTACCCCAGTCCCGAGAGCACCAGCCGCCCGTTGCCTCTCTCTGGCCTCATTGCCAGCCTTCTGTTGCAGCTGTGGGGGGTGGGGGAGGAAATAAAAACAAGAGGAGGAAATGTGCTGGTAAATGTGCTGGTAAATGGTTCACTGGAGCTGGGGGCCTGAGGCCAGGTATAGCATCTGCCCACCCGTGTGTGCCCACGCCTGCTGCGGCCGGGGTTTCGAAAGCAGAGTCCTGTGACAGCTGCTCAGGGTGGGGACACACAGGAGGCTGCTGGTTGCAGCCTGAGCTGGGAATCCCCTCCTTGTTTGTTCAGCCTGAGGGGCCCAAGAGGGACCACGAGCTGGAGTCCTGCTCTGATGGGCTTTCAGCCTTGGAGAAGGGAGGAGGAGGAGGAGGCTGGCGTGGCAGATGGTGACAGTGACACGTTGCCACGCAGCACAGGGAGGGCACAGCTTCAGAGCTTTCCAGCTGCAAGGCTGAACCTTGGCATAGGAAGAGGCAGCACTTGGCTGCTTGTTAAAGCAGAGAGGGAGGATGTTTGCAGCAAGAGAAACCTTCAACCTCTCGAGCAAGGACCTGAACGAGTCCAGTATCCAGTCCATTATCCTGTCATTATCTGCTCCCACACCTTTCCCATCCTGATCTGTGTCCATCCTTCCCCTTTCAGATCAAAGGGTCCTGGTCAAATAAGAGGGGCTCGGAGTTTGCCAATCCCTACAGCCATAAAAGTATCCTCACGAACTGCTGTGCGGTGCTGTGTGGACCATTCCATCCCAGGTAAGAGCCTTGGGCCTCCACAGCCTCGGGAATTGCATCCTGCTCTGGGAAAGGAAGGATTCATCGTGGTTCAGGGGAACCTCCCAGCACAAACACATCTGCTTTGGTGATGTGGAGGAAACAGTTTCCCACTCTGCAGAGAGAGGCTGCAGATGTGTGAGTGGGAGATGAAGTTTTGCTTCTGTGTTGGAGCTTGAGGAGTTTGGGTCACTTGTAGTTGTTTCATGGAACTTGAAGATAAAACACGCCCTACAACTGAATAAGGGGAGAGTTACAGCATCAAAGGGCTTGGCAGAAGATGGTCAGTACTAGTACTAGCATTACTTCTTGTCCCAATGATTTTAAGGTCCCTTTCACCCCAAACCATTCCATGATTCTATGATCTTCAGTGTGGTTTTCCTCCTGTACTCTGACTACACCAGCCAGTGCAGAGACTTTGGGCTTTACCAACACTTGGATCACCTGGAATGCTCAGGATCACCCCCCCAAAGGCTCTTACCTGGCTGTGAGTTACCTGCAGCACAGGATAATCACTGCTTGGTCACAAGATGGTGCAGTTGGGCAGAGTCAGGGCCTGCTCTGCTCTGCCACAGGAGCTGAGGACCTGCCTTGGAGCTCTTGCTCTGTCCTGGGGCATGTGGGGATCCACGAGATGAGTCTGTTCAGAGGATCTAATTTGGATTCAGGTGAAGCATCTCCAAGGTGCTAACTCTGTAACAGCAGCAGCATGGAGGGTCAAAGTCAGGTCTACAGTTACATCAGGCCCTGCTCTGAAGTGCCCCCAGGCTCTTTGTTGGGTTCAGAGGTGCCAAAATGCCGGTGCTGCCGTTCATAGCTGGTAAATCTGTGGATTCAGGGAGCCCAGCTGTTAGCTGGGAGGTTGTGGGGATGAGAATAGGGTTTTACTCCAGTTCTTTCCTCAGTCACTCAGTTTTGTGTTGTGAAGACCTTTGGCCAGTTCCCTTTTGGGTTTGTGGTGACCCAAAGCTCTCTGTGCCTGTGGGCTGGCCGGTGGCTTGTGTGACAAGTGTGTGGTTTGTTCTCCACCATCCTGCCTTGCTTTGTTTGGCAGCTCCCAGGGGGAGCCCTCCCCGTGGCTTGGGAGCTCCTGGCTTCAGAATCTCCAGTCCCTTAACTCCTCTTCCCTTTCTGTTCTCCAGTTTGATAGACAGAAGAGGATTTATCCAGCCAGATAACGGGACCCCATCCAGTCCTAAGAGCGAAATCCCTTCCTTTGGAGCCAAAACTGACACCAGCATGGTAGGAGGCCTTCCCTAGCAGTGCTGTGATGTTCCCAGTGCCTGCTGTGCCTGCACCTTGCTCCAGCCAGTACCTTCCCCTCTCACCACCTCCCCAGCCTCAGGCAGGACAGCCCTGTGACCCAGAGCTGCCAAAGACTCACTCGAGCCATATGTTGCCTTCTTTTTTTTTTTTTTTTCCTTTTTTTTAACATTTATTTATTATTTTTTTTAATTTGTTTCACTGTGATGTGGCCTGTCAGGACTTTTTGGCTGGCAGAGCCTGACAGCCTGTGGGACTCTGGGACTTGTGCCAAAAGCAGGGGGTCCCTGCTGCACCCAGGGAGCCCCCAGACCTCGGAGCCCCCAGCGTGTGCTCCGGCGGATCGCTGTGATTCCCGCTGGGAATTGTGAGGTGGCATGTGGGGACTGGCAAGTGTTTCCCACTCTGGGCTGGAGGAGGTACAAGCTCCCTGGTATCCCTGTTGTCTCCACAAACACATCCTGCTCCCCTGTGCCGGCGTGGAGGGGCCGTTCTGTCCCTTCACAGCCGGGGTCTCCCCTCGGCCGCTGCCGGAGCGGCTTTCCTTGTCCAGGAGCTGCTGTGCCGTGGTAAGTGGGGCTGTTCAGCTGGGAGGACCCTGGCTCCCAGCAGACCTAAAAGTTAGTGAGGATATCCCAGGTGCTGCTGATCCTGTTTTCTGGCTGGCTGCTGAGGGAGGGGCTGAAGGACTCCGTGTTTTGGCCCTGCCGGTCGGTCAGACACGTTTTGCAGCAACACCAGTTTGGGGGACCCTCCTTTAACAGGGAAGAAGAAACATTCTGTGCTCTGTGACTCCCCTCGTGACATGCAGGTTGGCAAGGCTGCAGCTGTCATATTTGGGAGCTGTAGCCTGCCAGGATTATGTCCTGTCTGTAGGAGACCACAAATCAACAGAAAAGTGTGAATTCCTGAGGGTTGCACCCTTTCTAGGTAGAGTTTTCCAGAGGAAGCAGTGAGAGGGCCTGATAACCTCATGATCTGCTCTTGGTTTGGGTTTCTGGACAGCAGAGTGTCCCCCAGGGCTGTTCCCAGCACCTTGGGAGTGATTCCAGCCACCTGGGCTCATCCATGAAGGGATGTCCCCAGTCTCTCAGGAGTGATTGCAGCTGCCTGGGCTCATCCAAGTGACCATCACTCTGCAGCCAGCTCTGTGTCCCTGGAGTGCAGGGAGAGCCACAAACCTTGTAGCAATACTTGAATCAAGTTATTAAAAGCTGCTGGATGTTTTTGCACAATTTGTAGGGGTTTTTTTCTACATAGAACGTTTTCTACCCGGGGCGGGGAGTGTTGTGCACGTTGGCACCAGGGCAGGGGCTTGCAATGTTGAGCTGCTCATTAGGTTTCCATGGATCAGACACGCCTATTTCAACCTCAGGCAGAGGCAGCACGTTTTGGGGGGCAGCCCAGCCCCCCTGAATTCACCAGCATCGTGCTCTGTACATTCTGTGCCTGGGGAGGGCAGAGGAGCAGTGTTGGGGGGTTTACCAGGGGCCAGAATCCTTCCTGTTTTTATTTAAACCAGTTTCCTTTGTTACTCAATAAAATTCTATTTTTAAAGAGTTAATTGCTTGGGTTATTATTTTATTCCCTGAAGACAGAAGAGGGCAGGTGTCTCGGTGTTTGACATCTCTCAGGTGGCAGCTGGACTCTTTTAGGCTCAGGCCTCACCTGGAAGCTCCTGGAACATCCTGCTATGAGGGATGAGCAGCAGCTGGTGCTGCTGTGACTCTTGCTGGAGTGAAGGGATGTTGCTGTCCCACATCTCCAGGCTGGGCAGAGTCCCATCCCCTCCCTGTTGTCACCTCAGTGTCCATTCCTTGCCGGGATCTGTGCTCCCTGTCTCTCCCAGCCCCCCTGGCCCCGTGGCAGGTGCTGAGGTGCATAACCTCTGGTGTCTTCCCCAGGAGGATGCCTGCCAGGACTTTGCCATTTCCTGCACAGCCTGACGGGATTTGCCTCTCCTCGGACCTTAGCCCTGATTTCTGAGGGTTGGCTGGTAAGAAACCACTTTCTTCTCCCTGCCATCCACTCGAACCGCCCATCTCCCACTGCATGACCAGCTCTGTGCATGGAGCCCATCACCCTCCAGATCTGTTGGCATCCTTGAGCCCCATCCATCCATCCATCCATCCATCCATCCATCCATCCATCCATCCATCCATCCATCCATCCAATCCCTGGGTTGTGTGGGTGAAGAGTCACCTGAAGGCTTTGCAGGAAGAGAAGGATGGGTTTGGTTTCCCCCAGTTTCGTGCTGGGGCCTTGGCAAGGGGGATGTGTGGGATGGGTGTGTGGATGGGGGTGGGCAGAGGGGTCCTGGAGCCTGGGGCTGGCTGGAGGACACACCAGGCTGCTTTGTGTTTGGTGGAGCTGCTGTGATGGGACTGGAGAAAGCCCCCAAGGGATGCAGAGATTTGGTGTTCAGAGCGAGTTGTGGCCTTAGCAGAGTGGTGGAAGCTGGAGCAGAGTTCTAACCCCAGCCCTGACCCACCCCATGGGCCAGGCAGTCCCTCCCCTCCCTCCCCTCTGCCTGTTTTCCTCTCTGCAACACCAGATTCCCTCTCTGATGTGCCTGTGGCCCAGGTAATTTCCTTCCAGGGCACATCATGATGACCTGTGTCACTTGTGGGCTGCAGAGCTGCCTCTCTCCTTCCCTCCAGCACCCCACGAGCTCCTGCCACTCGAGCCTTGGAGCAGTTCTGGAGACCACTGCCCCTTCCTCCCTCCTCCCCCTCCACCTCGTCCATCCCGGACTGTCCCCATTCTGCCCCCAAGCCCGGCTGCTCCGCTCTGCTCCTTCTACTCGTTTATTTCTGGCACTAACCCTCTCTTTTCTCTTCCTCCCCTCTCCTCTCCCTCTCGCCGGGAGGATGCAGCACCCGGAGCCCTGGCAGCCCGCAGCCCTCCGCCTCCCGTGGCGCATCCCACGGGAAGCTGAGCCCACAGCCATGACCACCACGAGTGCCTCCGCTCGCCAGGGCTGCGCGGCCGCGCCTCCCTCCCTCCCGCCGCCAGGGAGAGGGGAGGGGAAAAGCGGCCGTGCACAAGGAAAAAAACAAAAAAAAACCTTTTCCAACCCCGCTCCGGGAGCCGGGACGGCCCGTCCCGCGGGTTCGGAGCTCAAAGCCATACAGCCGTCCCACCCGAGTGCAATAACTGGAGTTCCTGCTGTCTCCTGCCGCCGGTGGCTCCCCGGTGTGACCCTCAGTGACGGTGTCTCCCCGCTGCAGATGCTGGAAGGTCGTGGCTGGCACCCCAGCGGGGTTTTGGAAGGAGCAGGCTCGCAGCAGAACGTTTACAGCCCAGCCAGTGGCATCACACACCCAACCCCACCAGCCCTTCCGTGTGCCAGAGGATTCTCCTCTCCGGACAGGAGTTAGTACATGGTCAGTTTGCCCTTGCAAGCCCCCTGGCTCCCTGTTTCCAGCCTCATCTTAGCCCAGCTCTAGTTTTAGGGGAAGGGGTTCCAGCCCTGCAGCACCTCGAGCAGCCTTCCCTGCTCCGGCCGGGCTGGGAGCTGAGCGGAGCAGCCAGGCCTGCCCCCAGCCCTGTAGGACTCACCATCTATTTATGCCTTTGACTTTTGTAACAAAAATAAAAGTTTCTCCTATTTACTGTAGGCCGGTGTTTGGCTGCTGGGGGCGGCTCGTGCCTGGGCATGTCGGTGCCATGCTGGGCTGGGAGCCAAGGGGAGCCACGGAGGGCTGGCACCCCTCTGCCAGTGGCTGTGTGGCCACGGGGACAGGAGCCAGGAGCTCCCCAAACTGGGCTGTGGCATGGTGGCCTTGGGGCAAGTCTCAGCCATCCACGGCTTTGTACCCTCCTGTGCAGCGGGAAGGGCCCGGCCAGGCTGAGGAAAGAGCAGTGGGGCTGTGGGACCCGGGGCACAGTGAGCACCCCTTGGAAAAATTCGTTGTCCACTGATGTTTTGGGAGCTGGCAGCGTCCCCCCAGCCAGGGGGAGCGGCAGGGCTGGATGGGGTGGCTGGACAGGCTGTGGGCATCCTTCCAGTGCCGCTGGGAATGGCCAGGAGCATCCTCTGCCTCCTGCCAGAGCCCAGCCCACGCCTGCCCTTGGCTCAGGGGACTGGAGACGTGCACTGGCCTGGGCAGCATCCCCAGGGCTGGGGTTAACTGGGTGCCCCGCTCCCCGGGGTGATCACAGGATCATGGAGTGGTTTGGGATGCACCTTCTGGGGCTGCTCTTTGGCAGACAGGGCACCCATGGGAGCTCCGGGGGTGATGCTGCACCTGAGCTCACCCTCAGCCCCTGCGCCAGGGTCTGGGGCTCTTCCCTTCACCCACCGCTGGTTTTCCACGGAACCGGTAGAGCAGAGCATTCCTGCAGCCTCCTCTCAGCCCGGCACAGCCGAAATTTGGCAGCAGCTCAGCCCCTTTGGCAGATGCCGGATCCGAGGCTGAACCATCCACACCCCACACGTGTCCTGCTGGGGAAGGGGGATCCTGCCAGGGTCTCCCCATGGAGCCAACAGGGGGTCAAGGAGCCCAAATGCAGGCAGAGGGTGGGGCAGGACCATCCCAAGGGCTGGAAGCCCCATCTGGCAGCGAGTCCTTCACCAGGGCTGGGGGCTGCAGACCCCAACCATGCATGGCTTTGCTGCCCAAAGGGGTGTGAGCTCAGACCAACCCACCCAGGCATTGCTGCCTCACGGTTTTCCAAGGAAAGGAGGTGGATTTTAGAGGGCTGGGTACATCGTGGTGCCTGTTTGTCTCCAGCCCCTCTGTGGGGGGGCATGGTTGTGGGGTTGTGGGGTGGTTGGAGAGTCTCTCTGGGTCTGACTTGTCCACTTGGTTAGAGGGTGGGAGATGGGCCAAGGTGTCCTAAGTGCCCATTCTTCTGGAAGACACCTTTTCCCTACTCATGGGGCAGAACCTGCTCCCACAGGAACACTCTGACCTGGGGAAGGAGCTCTGATTGCTGGTGAGGTGCTGCATGTGACACTGGGAGGGGGACATAGCGGGGCTGGAGGAGCTGGACACCCTTACATGCCATGTGAGCCCCTCGATGGGCAGGGGTACCCCGGATACCCCAACCCCACCATGTGCCAGGGGGGCTTGGCCAGGAGGGGATGAACAGCCCCAAATCCCACTTTCTGGGGTGGGGAGGGAGCGGTGTGAAGGCTGGGAGTGTTTTTCTGGGCTGGGAGAAGCATCCTCGGGTCTTTCTTGTGTCCTCCATCCCCAGGATCCACCTGAGCGAGGAACGGGGTGTGAGAGTTGGGGGGACGACTGGGCGCTCCCAGCCGGGCTGTTCACAGGGAGGAGTCAAGCAGCGAGTCAGGCTGATTAAAAAAAAAAAATCACACCCCTCCTTTTTGCCTTGGCCCGGAGCCGCCGGGCGCCCGCCCCACCCTGCCCTTCCCGCACGCTCCCGCACGCAGATAAGGCCGGGTTTGGGCAGGGAGCGGGGCCCGGGCTGTGCCAGAGCCCGGCGTGTGGCAACAAGCTCGAGCGGGACGAGAGTGAAACTCAGCGCAAGGCGCAGCACTGATCCTAATCGGGGCCCGACCGAGCTGCCACCGCGGCCCAGCGCCCACGGGCAGCGTGGAAAAACCTTAAAAGTTTTAAAGAACGAACCCTAAAACTCTTGGGTGACAGCTCGAGGGGTGGCAAAAGTCCCTGCTGGGGGTGGTGGGAGGGGGAAACGCAGCCCTGGGGTGGAGGTGGGCACAAGGTTGGTGGGGTCGGGGTCTCCTCGCTGCCGGCTGGATCCGGGCTCGCTCCAGAGGCAGGTGGCGTTTTGGGGGGTCCGGGGGGTCCCGCTGTGCAGCGGCTCAAGGGCACGGGGTGATTGTGGCCCGTTTCGGGACGGTCCCTCCCGCGGCGCCTGGGAGAGGTGCGGAGCTTCTCTGCCTCGGTTTCCCCACCTGTGGGAATAAATACCTGCCCGTCAAGCCCTCGCAATTACCGGCGAGTTAATCACCATATTAAAAACGACAGTGATATGATTTTTTTTTTTTGGGGGGGGGGAGGGAGGAGGAAACCATTTTTACGAGCAGACACACCCCGTGGCCCATTTCTTCGGGGGGGAGGTGGTGGTGGGAAGAGTCGAACGCTGCCGTATATCCCCCCACCCCATCCCCCAAAAACGATAACCCACCGGCTGCCGCCCTTCCAAGCCCTTTCAGCAGCGGGATGGGCGTTCCCCCGGGTGGGCGTTGGCTGTGGGGAGACCCTGGGGGCATCCACGGGTGCTGCACCCACCGAGGACCCACGGGGAGGGCAGGGCGTTGGCCAGGCCCCCCCCTCGCCCCCTCCCCAGCGCTCGCCGCCCGCGGGCGATGATTCACCGCGATTTTCCTTTTAAGGGCCGGGCTCGGCGGGGAGGAAGCAGAGGAGGAGGAGGAGGAGGAGGACACTCCTTGGACCTGGCTGGCTCCTCCTGCTCTCGCTCGAGGCTCCGACGCCCAGCCAAAAGCGAATCCCGGCGGCAGGGCTCGGCAGAGGCTCCGACGGCTCCCGGCCCCGCTCCTCCTCGCCCAAAGCGTCCGCGCCCCGCGCCCGCGTCCCAGCCATGGCAAGAAACCACCAGGTGCAGAAGGCCAAGCTGGCCGAGCAGGCTGAGCGCTACGAGGACATGGCAGACTTCATGAAGGCCGTGGTGGAGCACGGGGACGAGCTGTCCAACGAGGAGCGCAACCTCCTGTCGGTGGCCTACAAGAACGTGGTGGGCTGCCAGCGCTCGGCCTGGAGGGTCATCTCCAGCATCGAGCACAAAACCGAGGAGGGCGACGACAAGGCACAGCTGGTGAACGAGTACCGGGAGAAGGTGGAGCGGGAGCTGAACGGCGTCTGCAACAACGTCCTGGCCTTGCTGGACAAGTATCTCATCAAGAAGGCGAGCGACCCCGAGAGCAAGGTCTTCTACCTGAAGATGAAGGGCGACTACTTCCGATACCTGGCCGAGGTGGCCACCGGGGACGACCGCAAGAAGACGATAGAGAACGCCCAGGAAGCCTACCAAGAGGCCATGGACATCAGCAAAAAGGAGATGCAGCCCACGAACCCCATCCGCCTGGGGCTGGCCCTCAACTTCTCCGTGTTCCACTACGAGATCGCCAACGCCCCCGAGCAGGCCATCTCCCTGGCCAAGACCACCTTCGACGAGGCCATGGGGGACCTGCACACGCTCAGCGAAGACTCCTACAAGGACAGCACCCTCATCATGCAGCTGCTCAGGGACAACCTCACGCTATGGACAGCCGAGTGCGCCGGGGAAGACGGCGGCGAGGCTGGCGAAGAGCCCAAGAACTGAACGGCCCCTGCTGAGCCGGGGACAGGCCCCCACCTGCCTCCCCCTGCGGTCCCTTCGGCATCTCTTCGTGGCCTTTTTTTTGTTGTTGTTGGTTTTTCTTTTTTGGTTTTTTTTTTTTTTTTTTTTGGTCGGTTGGTTTTTTGGAGGGGGAAGGAGCCTCAGCTCCTCCACGGCCCCCCTCACCTCCCCAAGCCTGGATGCCGGGAGTGGGGGTGGTTTTGGCATGGCCTCCCTCCTCCCTCTCCCCCATCCTCTGCTCCGGGGAGGGGGAAAGAAAGGAGAGAGGGTGCCTCCATTCTGGAGGGCTGCCAGCCCCCCTGCTATTTAACAATTTTTGGGGGAGGGGGTGTCCAGCCTGGCATGTGCCAGCTTCAAACCCCCCCATCCCGGAGGGCTGGAGCAGCGACAGGAGGAGGTGAGGGGCCGGGACGGGGCAAGGGGGGGTCCGGGCAGCCCCCTCCCCATTCCAGGAGAGGGGGTCTCGTGTTGCCAAAGCCTCTGTGGGTCTCCAATAAACCGTCTCCTGCACTCCTGCCTCTGGTCTGCCTCGTCTCTCCCTGCACACGTGTCTGGGCAGCTCCCGCCGCCGCCGGGCATCCGCCTCACCTCCCATCCCACCAGGGTGTGGGAGCAGTCGAGTGGGCCCCCAAAATCAGCTACTCTCAATCCCCCACCCAGCCCCACAACGGGGTCTTGGGGTGCCCAGCAAACCCCCTTCCTTGGCAGCCCTTGGAAAGGCTGGTGGGGGGCTCTGCATCCACCAGACCAGGGTTCCACCAGCCCCACCCAGAGCTGGCTGCTCCAAGGGGTGCTCCCAGGTCCCTGACCCCACACTGGGGGGGTCCCACTCCCTTGGTACGAACCCCAAAGCCCATCACGGACACCCCCGTGTGGGTCCTCCCCCACCAGCTCCTCTGAGTTCCGAGGAGGAAGATCCACCAACAGCCACATTGTCAGCGACACGGGGACGGCCCTGGGGTGTCACAAGGGTGGGGACGTCCCCATCAAGGTCCAGACTCGCTGGGGCAGGTGAAAGCTCAGCAATCCTGGCCCTGGCACGAGGCCACGGTGAAGGGCGCAGCTCCCCCCCCATCCCTTCCCCCGCCGACAGCGCGTTTCAACATGAAAAATAATTACAATAAAATACAGTCACGGCACCCTGGGCTATGAGCTCATCAGATCCAGCAGGGCTGGGCAGGAGCCGGCCTTTGATGGGAAGCACCGGGATGCCGGGAGGAAACGCGCCGTGACTCAGGTTCGGCGGGAGCCCCGAAGTGGGGACGTGGGGGACATGCTGGTCCCAAGCCCTGGCGTGGCCAAAGCACAGCTCACGGGGTGCCAGGAGCTGCTGGGCTTGGGAGAAACTGAGGCATGGCCAGGGAAGTGACCAGGGAAGCGCAGGAACTGTGGGGTATCCAGGGAGCGAGGGATGTACCGAGGTTTGCCAGGGCTCTGCCGAGGGAGAGCAGTGGCTGCCCTGGGAGGTTGGGTTGCTCAAAGCTTTTTGCCCTGGGTGGGACATTTCATCTGGAGCAGAGACCAGCGGAGGGGATTAACCCCTGTGAGCCCCCCTGGCCCCTCGCCCACCCCTGAGTCCCCTCCCCATCCCCACTGTGACCTCTCATGGTTTGGACCCTCCAGGTCCCGTTTGCTCCACAGGTCCCAGCTGAGCTGGGGAGGGGCTGGTCCTGGGGGAGGGAGGCCAGCGAGGGGCCCCAACACTCCCAGCCCCGAGTGCTCCCAGGCTGGGAACCAGCCCCAGACCTGTAATTACCCAAACCGGGGCGGCCAACGGGAAAAACGAGCCGAGGGCTCACGCTGGCCCTTGACCCGCCAGCAGCCCAGACTGGTCAGACTGGAGCACGGCAGGGTGGGAGCTGGGGGGTGCTGGTGCTTGAGAAGGGGGTTAACCAGGGGTTTGTGTCCATCCCCGCTGCTTTTCGGGGCCACAGGTTCCCGCTGGCTTCCCAGGAGTTAACTGATTTCGACAGCTCCCCAAATTGCAGCCTGGCTGGGCCGTGTAGGAGGAGGATGCTCCTTGTCGGCTCCCAGCCGGTCCAGCAGCTTTTCCAGGCTGGGAGGGAGGCCCTGGATCCTCGGGACACCTCCCATGAGAGGGTTGTGGTGCTGGGGAGAGCGGGGTGTTCCCTGGGGTCCTGCTGGCCCCCTGTTTCATGCAGGGTGATGGGACCCAGATGGGAAAAGCGAGGGAGACGTTGGGACCCCAATCCCTGTCCTGTGGCTGTGGAATGCTCTCCAGCATCCCCGACACCGTGTAAGGAGGGACACCCAGGAAAGCTTTCAAATAAATGAGTTTTAGTGTCTTTACCAACAGGGAGGGGACCAGGGAGTGCCCCCCACCCTCCCAGCAGGGTCGTGGCACAGCCCCATACACAGGGGTCAGCAGCCATGGGGAAAAGGCCACCAAAACAGGATTCTGAGGGCATGTGGGGGATGCTACCCCGGCCCTGCCACCTGCAAAGGCTCTGCCCGTCCTGAGTGGGGACTGCAGGAGCCACAGACAGGCCTGTCCTTGTCCCCAGCTCTCCCAACCTCCCCACAGGGCTTTGTGCCTGAGGCTGGGGCTGGCTGGCTCCTGGCTGAGCCACCACCAGCACCTCCCTGGTGTCTGGGCACTGGGTGACCATCACCCTGGCCTCGGGGCAGTGATGGGCAGCCTCCTGCCAGGCTGGCACCGGGAGCCTGCTCTGGGGGCTTTGGGATTTTTGGGGAGGCTTTTTATGCCCCTCAGAAAGCACCACTTGATGGGGAAGTTCAGTCTTTGTGCAGGAACCCCATAATGGGCTGGAAGACGGAGAGAGGGGACACAGCAAACCCCAGTTTGGTGGCTGTGGTTGAAGCCCAAACCCCTTCACCCCAAAAATCACACCCTGACATATCCAGTCTCACCCACCCACCACGGTCAGGGTGGGCTCAGGCTGTCCCAGCACCAGGTTTGGAGGGGCTGGGGCAGGCAGGACCAGCTCAGCAGAAAGCTGGGTACCCCCCCCACCTCCTCCACCCCGTGCCAGGGTTGTGCCTCAGCTGGGGTGACGAATCCCGGCCCTTGGCCCCAGCCAGTTGCTCAACGGGAGCGACAGGAGCCAAAGTGTCACCTCCCTGAGCCCCGGGAGCCTCCCAGCCCCTGTCCCCTCCCAGCGTGGGGACACGTGGATGCAGGAGCTGGCTGCGTTTCACACCAGGGTCTGCAGCCTTCCCTGTCTCCTGCTGAGCCATTTTCCGTGTCACCCTGACCAGGAGCAGCCCCCACTGGGCTGTGGGTCCCAACTCAGCCCCTGACTCAGCTGTAAAAAGCTTTTTAGTGCAAAAATGCTGCATTTTTGAGGCTGCAGCTCTTGTAGACCTCAGCACTTGGAGGACACAGCCAAGGTTCCCTGAGCTGAGCGGTTTCCACCTCCTTTGATACCCATTTTCTCCAGCACTGGCAGGGCTGAGGCTGCAGATATCTAGGGTATTCAAATAAAAAAACCCAAAAAAGCCACAAAAGCTTTGATGGCTCTTGTGTAACTCGGCCTGACCTGACCATACCCTTTTAAGCCACCAAATCTCTCAAAGCCATGAGAAAGCCACCATAAAATTAATATTTTTATGACCACGTCTCCCATCCCTTCACAGAGCTCCAAAAAAATGGGGGGGATAAAGCCACAAGCCACAGGGTGAGGATGGAATTTCAGTTCAGTTATGGTTAGATTGGCTTCCAATCTTGAGCACTGAAATGCTGGATTCCAGCCAGAGAAGTCCCTGGGCTCTTGGGAAGAGCTGAGGCACTGGCAGCAGGCAGGGATTTGACTTTGATATGTGAAATCTCAGTGCAGTGTTTCATTGGGAATGGGTCTGGTTAAAGCATATTAAAGTGTGTCTTCACCCTCTTCCCCCTGAGCTCTTCCTTTTCTCCAAATCCTGACCAAAAAGCTGGGAGATGGAGGAAAAAATTAATTTTAATTCCCTGCCCAGCTGTCCAAGACCCCATTTACATTTAGATCCACTGAAGATCCCGTCTGCAATCCCTCTGCCAAGGGCCAAACCATCCTGGGAAAAAAAAACCTTGTTGCATTTTATGCAAGATCTTGGGCAAGAGGCGATGCTGAGTCTGCACATGGAGCTGGGATTGGGAGTCTCGCCCGCTCCCATCCCACGTGGAGCTGCCAGGAGGCACTTGGAGGCTCCTTGGTGTGGACACCTCGCTTTTCCCACCCCCCAGCCCTCCAGATCCATCTCCCAGCCGCTGCCTGCAGCAGGAATCAGGGCAGGTGGCACACGAGGCCGGGAGCTGCCGCCGTCACCATCGGGAGCTCCAGCAGGACAACAAGGGGAATCACTTGGGAAGGAGGGGAAGCCCTGGCATTTGGGATGGGAACAAAGCAAGCCCAGAGAAAAAGAAGGTGGATGAGGACACACAAGGCAGCTGCTGGGAAAGGCCCTACATGCAAACCATGAGCTGAGTCACACAGGGGCTTTCTTAATCAAAAGCCTCCAAGAGCCGAGCTGGCAGTTTGCGCTCCGTGCGCCCCAACCTCCAGCCTCTGGATCACTCCTGGATCACCAGGAGTGACCTGCTTTCCTATCCCACAGTCCTGCCTCCCTCCAGCAAACGCTGAGCCTGTTCTCAGGCAGATCAGAGAGGAGCAGGACACGGCCAACACACGGAGCTGCCGCGCACGCAACGCGACGTTCCCACCCGAGGCTCTTTAGCCTCGGGCCCTGGAGCTCTCTTGGGTTTATTTATTCAGGTTCAGCAAACTCACAAGATGAAAGTGAGGCGAAGGAGTTCTTTTATTAAGAAAGAGTCCATCATTATTTCCAAGAAAAAGAAAAACAAACATCTTTCTGTCCTCGAGACGGAGTGGAGGCGTCTCCGCCCGGATGCTCCCCGGAGCACGAGGGCCGTGCACGTTCCTCCTGCAGCAAACCCAGAACTTGTGTCTCAAGTCCCTCTGCAGATGAGGCAGCTCCAACTGATTTTTCTTTCTCTGGATCTGTCTTGGTCATGATGGGGAAGAGGAGATTTTTATCTCTCTTCTTTTCCTTGCTAATCCTGCCTTCTCTGCTCAACCTCTCTGTTCCTAAGGAAAGACCCGGCTCATCCTGCCCTCAGCCACCTCCTCTCTGCCAAATCGCTGCTCTGTGCAGCAGGGCAGAAGCTTGGGAGCTCAAACCCACCCAGAGAGGGAGTCCAGCAGCCAGACTATGTCTGGAAGGGCTTTCACTTGCTCTGAGTCACAGCTTAAGCTCCCGGTAGGAAAAAAGGAGAGGTGTCAAAACAGAGAGGAGCCGTGGAAGGGCGTGTCACAGATCCATCACCTCTTCTTCCACGGCTTTGTCCTGAGATTGCACATACTTCTCCTGCACTGCAAGGGTGCTGATAGCGCAGTAATTAAGGAAAACAAGGGGCTGGGCTCTAACACTCCCTTCTGCAAGGAGCTCTGAACGTTCTCAGCCTGGAACCCGCCCCACATTAGCCCCAAGGCTGGCAGGAAGATGCAGGGCTGGCAGCAGCAGGAATCACCTGAGTTATTTCTGGCTCTGCCTGATCCCAGACCTGACAAGTCCAGGAGAATCAACTGTATGATTTGGAAGACAGGGAATGAACCCATCCAAGGGAGTGTGAGAGAGGGGAAAGTTGTGAAAAGACTCCTGACACATTCCCAGGATCAATTAGCAACAGTTGTGGTGGGTTTGGCGTGGACAAGTGTCTGCCACGGGCTGGGCACAGCACAACCCCCTCCCCACACGTGTGTCACCCACCAGGTGACACGAGGAACAACCTGGGCCTGCAAACTCCAGCCTCTCTCCCCCCAGGGAAGGAGAAATTAAACTCAGCACCAGAGAGGATACGAAGAGAAGTGGAAATCAGCTCCCACTGCTGCTGACATCAGAGCTTCCAGGCTCCTGTGCTCCTGGTCTCCGAAGGAGTAGCCGTTGGCTTTGTCCACCGCCCGCATCACCTGCCGCATGCTCTCCTTGTCCTGGAAGGGAGGGACACGGCACACTGGAGATCTGGTCTTTTCCCAGAGGCATGAGCTCATGGTGGGCTTTCCATGGATTTTCTCCAAGGGTCTGGGCCACCCACACAGAGCCCAAGGCCCCGGGGACGCTGGCAGAGCCCCCGAGCCCTGGGGACATGGGACAAACAGGGACACCCGTGCTACAGGCCGGGCCGACACCTCCACCCTCTGCCTCCCTTTCATCACCTTGTCCCAGCCCATTTGCCTCTGTTGACACTTCTGCCAACTCCCTGATTAACCACCACATTTCCAGCCCTCCCTCCCCAAATTATTCCTCCCAATCTTCTAATTATTCGGTGCTCCCTAACTTGACAAGGGTCTAGGTAATACTTTGCCCGGGTTTGAAATGCTGGCACAGAAGGGCTGGAGGAAGGGGGAGCCTGAACTCCCCACCCCAGGACACGAGGCCCAGGTAGCCCCAAGCTCAGTCAGCCTTTCCTCTTCCTTTGGCTGCCACGGATCATTTACAAGTCTGGGTGTGTTTCCCTGTTTTCCATCCCTGAGTCTCTTCACAGCCAAGGCTTTCAGCTCTGAGCAGGCATAAACAAGGTGCTACATATCCAGCTGCACATCCCTGTTCCCTCCTGCTGCATCACCTGGACGTTGAGGGGGACAAAGGACACCAGGCTGTAGTCCTCAATCACCTCCACCAGCTTCTCGTTGAGGCGGCGGTAATTCCTGAAGAAGGGATCAGAGGCCAAATGATCAACCAGGTAAGAGAGATCCAGGACCTCAGTGTAATAATCCAGGTTGAAAGCTGCAGGGAAACAAGGCAATTTTTAAGTTGAAGAGCACAAGATTCCCTGGTTCACACCACTTTTCCCCAACCATTCCCACTCCCACTCCCAAACAGACCTGACACAGCTCAACCCACATCCCTCAAATCCCTACCAAGTATCCAAGGCTGGGCTGGATGGAGCTCTGAGCAACCTGGTCTAGTGGAAGGTGTCCCTGCTTTAAGGGTATGAGCTCTAAGGTCCCTCCCAAGCCCAAGCCATGCTGTGATTCCATGAAATTCTCTTACCCAGCTTCCCGTACTGCTCGATCAGGTCCATCTTGGAGAGGACGTTGATGTGGGGCAGCTCCACGTGCAGCATGGTGGACAGGGAGGTGCAGAGCACGGAGATGAACTTCCCAGGGTCTGTGCAGTAGTGGGAATCCACCAGATGCACTGCAGCCAGCTGGGAAGCAAAGGCACAAAGGGACACAAAGGTCAGACCCGTGACAAAACCATCCACTTGCTTTAGGGGGCGGCCTGGAAGAGGCAACAGCACAATCTACTCAGACCTGACTGTGCCACGTAGGGAAAGGTTCCACCTACCTTCTGCCTCCTGCACAGGAAAACCAGAATCAGAGAATCGTGGAAGGGTTTGGGTTGGAAGGAATCTTAAAGCTCATCTCATTCCAGTGCAGGGACACCTTCCACTATCCCAGGTTGCTCCAAGCCCTGTCCAACCTGGCCTTGGACACTCCCAGGGGTAGCCACAATTTCTCCCTTTTCCCCTCTCTCCCCTTTAGGCACTGGAAGGGGCTCCAAGCTCTCCCCAGAGCCTTCTCTTCTCCAGGTGAACATATTCATAAATCCATGGATATAAAAGTGTATATTGTCCCACTCCCACCCACAGAGCACCACGGATTCAGGACCCAGGGAAGGGCTGTGGGGAGGCTTTATAGGGGTGCTGAACTCCTCCACCAACACCCAAACCCTTTCCTCAGGGTTCCTCTCTTTGCAGCTCAAGTTTCCCCACTTGCCTGAACTCTGCAGATTTTTTGGGGTGGCAGCTGGGTTTAATTCTCCCCCTGAACGACACAACTGCCCCCAGATTTCCCCCCTTCCCCACAGGGCTGCTCAGGCCACGGCACACTCAGGAGCAGTAACTGTAGCACACCACGTTCTGCTGGGAGAGCCGACTGCGGTCTGCACTAATAATTAATAATTACACTAATGAACAGTTCGATTCCCTGTGTTTTGTGCTGCTCTAACAGTGTGGTCCCAGACCTCTGGAAGTCACTCCAAGCCAGGACTGAGCGTGGCTGAGTCACAAGCAGCAAAAAAAAAAACCAAAAACCAGCCCAGGTGTGAGCAGTGAAACAGCAGCGTAAATGTCTTATTTTAGCAACCCCAATTTCACATCCACTTATTCCAATGAGAATAAACCTCTAATGTGCAGATTCCCGGTGACATTCTCAGGCAAATGAACCTGCCCTTCTTGCTCGCACCGCACAGGGTTTGCACATTCATGGTTTGGCCCCGACGCAAAGCAAGCGCCGCGTCAGCAGGTTCCCTGGGCTGTGGGGCTGTTCTCACCTGCACGGCCTCATCTGCATCTCCCATTGTGCAAGGAGGCCCAGGGCACGTCCCACGGGGTGCAGGCAGGGCAGGCAGGGCCTGGGATGTCACCTGGGGCTCCTCACAGGGCAGGGGAAAAAAGGGTCCCAGCACGCATCGACCTCCCTGCCCGGATAAAACACACACACGCTGTGGGGGTGACCCCGGAGCACAGCAAGTGCTTGTCCCACCCCTGGAAGTGTCCAAGGCCGGGTTGGACAGGGCTTGGAGCAGCCTGGGCTAGTGGAAGGTGTCCCTGCCCATGGCAGGGGGTGGGACTGGATGGGCTTTAAGGTCCTTCCAACCCAAACCATTCTGTGATTCTGTGACGAGTGTGAGCAAGCAACCCGTATTTCTATCCATAATCCCACTGCACTAAAAGCCCCGACAAGCCGCTGTTTTGCCAATCCCTCCGAGCATAAAGCAGGACAAAAATCAGACAAAATTCCCCTCCTTCCCTGACAAAGCCGTTTCACAGGGAAGGCCAAAAAATTCCTGAAGAAAACAGCCATTGCTCCCCACGACCCCCACGGGGTGTGGAGCCTCACACGGGGTGCGCCAGCCACCCACCCCAAACCCCCTGCAGAGCCCCCAGAATCCCAGCAATACCCTGAAATCCCACTTGGCCAGGTGGGCGAAGACGTTCTTCAGGGAGCTGTGGTGCGTGTAGAGCTCCACCTGCCCGGGGCAGTCAAAGAGGACGTAGTGCCCCTTGAGCCCCTCCAGCTTCTCCTGCAGCCAGTCCACGTTGGCCTCCAGGTACTCCATGCAGTAGAGGAGCCCCCCGTTGGGGCCCAGCGCGAGGCTGCCCATGACGTCGGGCAGGGTGACGAGCTGGGCGATGTCCAGCTCGCAGGGGCAGGGCAGCGCCTCGTTGGCGGGGTCCAGGTTCACCACGGCCACCCTGCGCCCGATCCTCGCCAGGAATTCCCTCATGGCGTGGCAGTAGGTGGTTTTCCCGGAGCCCGGTGGCCCGATGACCACCTGGCCGAAGGCCGGCGAGCGGCCCCTGCTGCCCTCAGACATGGTGGGTCATCTCCTCCTCCTGCTGCTGCTGCTGCTGCTGCTGGCTGGGAGGGGGGAAAAGAACCCGTTTACTGCTTAATCTGTGTTTGCAGGGATGGGATCTGCTGGAATTCCCACCCAGGGAGAGGGTGGAGTGGGATGCTGCAGCCACTTCGTGTCACTCTTCGCACTGAGCCCATGCTGGGGTGGGTGACACCAGTGCCCCCCACTCTGAACACAGGGGTAACCCCCCCCCCAGCCCCTGGGATGTGCCTGTGGGATGCAAATCCCTGCTCCTGCCCAGCTGTGGGGTCAGTCCCACCCTCGCTGGGTCCTTCCTGATGTGGCAGTGCCCACACATCCCCCTGTCCTCCCCTCCACTGTTGTCCCTTCTGCCCTCCCTGTCCTCCCCATGTCACCCCCATTCCCACTCTCCACAGACCCTCCCTTCTCCTGTGTCCCTTCTCCCACCACACATCCCTTCTCCCTTCCATGTCCCGCATATCCCGTGTCCCCTCTTCCTCCGTGACCCCTCTTTGCCCACATCCCCCTTCTCCCCGTATTCCCTCTTCTCTCCAATGCTCCCCTTCCACCATGTCCCTTCTTCTCCCATGACACTCTTTCTCCCCCACATTCCCCTTTGCCTGCGCCCCCATTTATCCCCTTTATCCCCCCTTCATCCCCGCTGCATCCCTCCCTTTGCCGGGCACCCTCCTTTACCCCACGTCCCCCCTTCATCCCCTGTGCCCCCGTGTTTCCCTTTCCCCCACGGGGCCCCTCATCCCCCCTACGACCACCCTTCCCTCCCCCCTTCTCCCCTCACCCCCGCTCCTTGCCCAGGCCCTTTCACCTCTCATACCCCCTCCCCAGTCCCGTATCCCCCCCTCCCAATCCCGTAATTCCCTCCCCAATCCCGGTTTTTCCCCGCTAGGCCGCTCACCGCCCGCCGGTGCCCCCCGCGCCGGGTCCGGGTGGCCGCGGCCCCCGGAGCGCCGCGTTCCGGGCGCGGAGCGGCCGCCGCCCCCACAGCGCCCCCTGGCGGCCGGAGGGACTCGGAGCCGGGGCCCCCAATCGGGGTTCGGGGGTCGCGGGTTCGAGTCCCGGCGTCGGCAAAACCCCACACCCCCGTGTTTTGTTTTCTTTTTCCGAGAGAATCACAGGATCAGCTCGGTTGGAAAAGACCTCTGGGATCATCGAGTCAGACCTGTGATCCATCTCACCATGGCGCCAAGAGCCAGGTCCACTCTTTCCTTGAACATCTCCAGTGAACAGTGACTCCACCACCTCCCTGAGCAGCCCATTCCAAGATTTAATCACTCTTTCTGCGAGGAAATTCTTCCTAATGTCCAACCTAAACCTCCCCTGGCGCAGCTTAAGACTGTGTCCTCTCATCCTACCACGGGTGGCTGGGAAAAGAGGCCAACCCTCACCTGGCTACAACAGAAAGGAAAGGTGAAATTCCTCCCTGACACAGCAATATCCTTAATGAGAGCACACGAGGCCTGGCCTTCACCCATTCCCACTTAACCCTGCAGCCCTGGGTCACTGTGCCCAAGGCTCTCCCCTCTCCAGAGTGCCTGTGTCAGGAAAACAGGGCACAGCAGGTTGGGAAGCCGTGCAGGGAAGCGCCCGCTCCGCCCGGCCGCGGGGAAACGCCTCCCACAGAATTCCTTGGAGGCTGCCAGGACAAGCCTTTCATCCCAGCGAGTTTCTCCCGGGAGTGTGGGATCGCCACGCCCAGGCACCGCGGAGCTGTGGCCAGCAGGGAGCTGCTGGCAGGACAGTTACGGTGCCACAGCCGGCCCTGCCTGTACTTGTCCTTCCCTGGGTCTCAGGCAGCCCTGAAATACGAGTTTGGGCTTTTTAGGCTCGCTGAGCACTCAGGTTTGCTTGATCCCAGCACTATTATCAGTTTTAAGCCCCCACCCAGAAACACAACCCCCAACCCCCACTGAACAGACAACATTTCCCCTCATCTGAACAGTTCAATTAGTCAGGGGGAAAAAAAAAACTCCCCTGCTGTAGCAATTTTTATTACAAAATCTAAAATAAAACAACAAAAAATGTTCTAAAAATAAGTTAAAAAAATATAAACACCCTGCTCCACCCCCGAGACCAGGAGCCAGCCTGGACTGGGGAGATGATCCCAGGGCTGTGGCAGTCCCTGCTCAGTGGGACTGGGATCTGAGGTTGCCCAGGGCAGGGTGGGACGCCCTGACAAAGGCCATGTCCTGCCTGTACTTCATGGCAGTGGGGGGCTGGCGCCGGAGCAGCTGGTCCCCCATGTCCTGGGGCTCGGGGTCGTCGTAGATGGTGGAGATGACGACGGGATTGTCCCTCCGGGGCTTCTTCCCCTTGAGGAAGGTTGGCAGCTTCTCCCCGTGGTACCTGGAGGGAAGCAGGAAAGGTTTGGTTGGAGGTTGGTGAGGCAGCCAGGCATCCCTGTGCTTCCCTGATCACTTCCTTCACGTGACCATGGAATCAGGGAATGGTTTGGGTTGGAAGGGACATCTTCCACTGGACCAGGTTGCTCCGACCTGGCCTTGGACACTCCCAGGGCTGGGGCAGCCACAGCTTCTCTGGGCAACCTGCACCAGTGATGCAGGGAAGATGTGGACCCATATGGATCCCTGTGCTATTCCTGGCCAGCCCTCATGGTCAAACTGCACCCCACAAAGCCTACAGAAACCCCACAGGGCAGGTAGGGGTGGGGACCCTCAGTCCTTCCTCTGTGTCTGTGCTGCAGGAACCTGCACATGGTTCCAGTCCTGCTCTAACTCCACAATCTCCACAGAGAGCCCAGGTAGAGTTCTGAGCACAGGCTGGCACTTGGGTACTTACCCCAGCCCCCTCTTGCATCTGGGGTTCTGACCCTCGTTATCCAGAGCTTCAGCCATCCCAGAGTTGCTGCTCCCCAGGCCCAGCCCCTCCGTCCAGCCCTGCTGCTCCAGCACCTTCCTGCCAAAGCCCTGGGAGGAGGGAAAAACATCACAGACTTGCTGGACAGAGCCCAACCTCACCTTCCCAGAGCTTTCTGCCCCCTCCCCACACCCAAGGCCTCTCCTCCCCTAATCCACATCCTCTGGGCACCATCATCACCCCAGCCCTTCCTGCCCTGCCCCTGGAGCAGGTGTCCAGAGCTCACCTTGGTGTATCTCTCGAAGGTTCCAATCTGCTGCCCTGACACAGACCCCTCCTCCAACCCATCCCGCAGCCGCTGCTCCAGCCACATCCGCACCGAGTCCCGAGCGTCCTTATCACCTCCATCTGGGGAGAAAGGAGCCAGAGTCAGGGCAGCACAGCTCAGGGGAGCTGCACAGCTCTGCCACTTCCCCCAGAGCACCAGGCAGAGGAGGCAGAACCTGTTCTTTTCTGGCAGCTCTGGCCACCAGACCAGAAAAACGTCGTTTCAAGTTCACTGACGTCTTGGATGCTTTTCAGAGGATGACAGAGCCAAAGAGCTCCCCAGATTGTGCAGGGTTGGAATTTCCCAGCCTCCTCAGGTTAGCTTTGATACCTTTGTCGTAGTAGATGCTCATGTCCACGTCCCAGTCGTCCGCTGTCTGCTCGTCAAAGTCTGCCAAGAGAAGGAAAGCAGCAGTTTTGGTGAAGTCTGACACAGAAGAGTTGTTTGTTGGTGGTCCAGCTCCCTGTTTCCTCTAACAAAACGGGAAGGAACCACAGAATCATTAAGGTTGGGAAAGATCTCCAAGATCTTCGAGTCCAACCTGTGCCTGCTGCCCCCCTTTGTCCCACTGCAGTGAGGGCCCAGAACTGGACACAGCACCTGAGGTGGTGCCTCAGCAGTGCCCAGCACTGAAATGGCATTAGAGACTCCCCAAACCCCAGTGCCCACAGAAGGGGCTGAGGCAGCAGCACTGGGGTCTCTGGTGACTGGATTGTGATCAAGGGAAGGTTAAAAAGCGATGGCAAGATGCTGTTTGGCTGCAGCTCAGCTGGACTGTTTGTAGGGGGCTAAACCTGCCCCTGGGGGTCAGTGGGGCCTCAGTGACACAAACACCAGCGTTACCTCCGTTCTCCTCCTGCCAGAACTGGGCATCTGTGTAGAACACCAGGCCAGAGCCTCCTTTCTCCCACTTGAGTTCGATCTCCTCCTCGAAGAGCCGCTCCTCCACCCGGCCCTGCTTGGTCACGTCCTCGTGCAGGGCCTCGTGCCGCTCCCACTCCTCACAGGTGTCATTGTCCTGCAGGGGAGGGGGTGGCACAGGGTGGGTGACACCAGCACAGCCCCTCTCCCTGACCCCTGACCCCCATCCCAACCCCTTCCCTGCGGAACAGCCCCGCTGACAGAGCCGGTCCCGGCCCGCAGCTCTCAGGCCCCGACACGACGGGTGCGGGTGAGCTCATCCCCCGACTGACGCCACTTCCAGAGTCAGCACTGAGAAATCCCACCCCTCACACCCACTGCAGGGATGCCCATTTAAGGAGCAGGTGGTGCTGGACCCAGAGTCAGCACTAAGCAATGAATTAATTCCACTCTGGTTGATTCCTAAGGAGATTGCGTGGGTTTCCCGGGAAGCAGCTCGCTGGCACGGGCACAGGGCAGGCTGGCAGCTCCACTGCTGCCTGCCCAGCTCTGGGCACAGCCCTTCCAGGGCAGGAGCAGCCAAAAGAGCGGCTGGAGATCCAGGAAGCAGCCTGTGAGAAACAGCTGGAGGAGTCTGTTTAGTCTGGAGAAGGGAAGGCTGCATAAAAGGAGGGAACAAAGCGCCTTCTGTGCCCGCTGTTGCCAGGAGGAACTACCAGGGTGGAACTGCAGCAAAGATTTGGCATCTGAGGTTGTTCTGGCGGAGGAAAGAACGGGAATGGCTTGCCTGGGGATCTGTAATGACAGAGGTTTGGGAGAACAGGCCAGACAGGCGTCTGCCAGGCAGGGATGGCTCCACAGAGCCTGCCCTGCCCAGGGCTCCAGGAGCCTTTGTCACAAAGGCCATTTCCCTCTCAGTGACTAAACTTCAGTCCCAGGAGCATTCCAGGTCAGCCATTTGTGTGCAGCTCTGCATGCCCTTTTTTCCAGCACACAAACTGAGCCTCTGGTCACCTCATCTGCAGGCAAAGCAGAGCTGGGCCCATCTGCCAGGGTCTGCTCTGCAGCACCAGCTCCTTGGACCAAACCCCCATCAGAGCCTTTGGGATAAACCCTGACCAACCCCCTTTTGGGTTCAACCCTTACAACCACCTTGCTCTGGACAAGCAGGTTATTTTTTTTGGGGGGGGGGGGATTCGTGCCCCCACTGCCCACACACCAAGAGCTGAACAACTCTAACACCCATTTTTTTTAGGCATGTAATTTATATAATACAGTTATAAGATTAAACCTGAGCTCTGCTGGGCTCGGACGGTGCTGGAATATTCCACTTACATCATCTGAGTGAGACTCCTCTTCCTCCTGCTGCCTCTCCTCCTCCTGTTCCTGGGGCTGGGCCGGGTGAGTCACCCCCGGGCTGGGCTCGGGCCCCTCTCCCTCGGTGATCTCATCCCCTGCAGCCGTGTAAACTCCTCCTTCCTCCACCACCGTCTCAGTGTCCCGGTATTCAAAGGGCACATTCCCATACCTCCGGGATGAGCCAGTCTTTGGGAAATCCAGCTGCAGCTTCTTGATGATCCAGGGGGGCAGCCGGCAGGCCCGGATCAGCTCCAGGAACACGCTCAGGGGGGTGCCCACGTTCCCAAAAGGCATGAAGGAGGGGGGGTTGAACTCGGGCAGGCGCTTCAGCTCTGCCTCCGTCACACATTCCCCGGCAGCCGTCTGGTCCTGGCTGCTGGGAGACGCCTCCGAGCCTGGAAAAGAGAAGGGATGTTTGAGGGAGGGGGCCCAAAAGCCACCTGAGAGGGGTAAAACAGGGCCCTCCCGAGCACGAGGGGGATGAGCAGGGCCCAAAGGGGCTCTTCTGGCCTTGTAGTACATTTAAAGCACTAGGGAAGCTCCATAAGAAGCGTTAACCCTTCAAGCTTGGCTGCAGAGTGTCGGTCCGACCCCCCCCCCCACACACACCGGCCCGTTACGGGCCCCCTCCCGGTGCCCACCCGTACCTGCCGCGGGGCTCAGGCGGACCCTGCGGATGAGGCAGCGGCCGGGCAGCGCGGCCCCGCCGGGCCCGACCCAGCGCTTCCCCGAGTACATGCGGACGAAGCGGCGGGCGCGGCCGGGCCTCACCGACACCAGGCACGAGCAGGTGCGCGGCCCCGCCGCCGCCGCAGCCGGCGGGCGCTCGGGGCGGTGGCGGTAGTGGAAGCAGAGGAAGCCGCCGGCCTCCAGGAACTGGCTGAAGTAGGCGCGGAGGTGCGCGGAGCGGAGCGCGGCGGGGATGCCGCTGACCAGGCAGTACCGGGCCGGGCCGCCATCGCCGCTGGGCGCCGCCATCTTGGCACGGCGGCGCGGGGGGATGACGTCATGCGGGACGGGAGGGAGAGAGGGCGCCGCCTGGTGGACAAAGAGTGAAGTGCGGGCGGGGCGATCGGGGGGTGTCACAAATTTTGGGGACACAGAGGGACCCTGGGGGGGTCACAGGACATGGGGACACAGAGAGACCCTGGGGGAGTCACAGGACACGGGGACAGAGAGAACCTGGGGGGGTGTCACAAATTCTGGGGACACAGAGGGACCCTGGGGGTGTCACAAATTCTGGGGACACAGAGACACCCTGGGGGGGTGTCACAAATTCTGGGGACACAGAGGGACCCTGGGGGGGTCACAGGACATGGGGACACAGAGGGACATTGTGGGAGTGTCACAGGACATGGGGACACAGAGAGACCCTGGGGGGGTCACAGGTCCTGGGGACACAGAGAGACCCTGGGGGGTGCCACAAATTGTGGGGACACAGAGAGACCCTGGGGGATTGTCACAGGACATGGGGACAGAGAGAACCTGGCAGGGTTCTCAGGTCACGGGGGTCTCAAGGGGTCACAGGCCTTCAGGACACAAAGAACCTGGGGTGGGTCACAGGCCCTGGGTAGGGGGGTCACGGACCTTGGGGGCAGAGAAGAACCTTTAGGGGTGTCACAGGTCCTGAGGACAAAAAGATCCTGTGAAGGGTTTGCGGGATCTGGAGACAGACACATCCTGGGGAGGGGGAGGGACACAGGGCATGGGGACAGAGAGACCCCAATGGCAGGGGGACAGCCAGACCCCAGGGGTGGCCCAGACTCCAATGTGTGTGTGTGTGGGGGTGTTTACCAGGCCCTGGGGGTCGCAGGGAGTGGCCAGGCAGGCCCCAAGGTGGGTCACAAACCCCAGGGGTTTCAGGACACTGGGGACATCCAGCCCCCCATGCCGTGTAGGGGGGGAACTGGTGATGCTGTCCCAGGGCTGTTGGGTGTCCCGTGCCCAGTGACTCACTGGGACTCATGCTGTGACTCACAGCCTCCCTGTCCGTGGAAAAGGGCCGTCATGGGGCTGAGATCACCCCAGGAGCAGCGGCAGAGGGAGAGGCCGAGGCTGACGCTGCAGTTCTCCCGCACCCCGGGCTGCTGGCGAAGATTCCAGCTGTTTCCCTGGCACAGGGAGGCTCCGTGCAGCTCTGCCTGCCACCTCACCCTGTGCCAGCCGTGGAAAATGGGGCAGGGTTTGTGCCTGTTGGCAGCGGGGGGAGCGTCCAGGTGAGTCAGAGCATCCACATCCGACACCGCTGGGATACCTTGGGAGAGGCTCAACACCTGGAGAAAGGTGCAGCTTTCCAGGGGAATTTGGCCCTGGAAATTTCTGTGTGCTGGGAGCACCGAGGGGTTTACATCAGAAGGCACCCACTGACATCATTTGACCCATATCTGCGTTGCCAGATGGATTTTTATGGAAAATCCTTTTGCTTCCAGCGTCTTTCCATGCCAGGCCTGCAGCAGATTTTTCTCCCTCCCCACTCTCCCCCGCTCCCAAATTCAACACCACCTCTAAAAAGTCGCCACTGTTGTTCCAAAACGTCAAGCATTTTATTAAAAAAATAATTTATTGCATCTTATATACAAACCACATGAATGTTCACTTACAAAATACTGACACCTCACCTGTGGAAGGCAGGAGGAGCGAGTTTTCCAGGTGTGCACCTGGCTCTGACTCCAGGGAGGGACGTTTGGATCGACCACTAAACCAGCTCCGCTCGTTTCCACGGCGTTCCCAGCTCAGGGTTCACTTATCACACAAACAGGTAAGCCCAGAGCCCAAAATGAGGTGCAGCAGGTTTTTAGGTGCTCTTAGTCCTGTTGTATTTCATGGAATTACGGAGGAAAGATGTGATCTAAGGGAAAGAGGGTGAGTCTGTGGGATTTAACACTCTAGCTTTTCCCCCTGAAGGTATCCCCTGAGTGTTTCTAAGATTTCAAGCACAACAGGCAGACCCAGACCTAATTCCACTGTGTAAGTGATTCCACTGAGGCCACCAAACAGCCCAGGATCGAGCTGTCAGCTGAGGACAACCCTCAGCGCTCGGAGTTAACAGCAAAATGCTCAATGATTTCACATTGTGGAACTGGGACTGAGGGGAAAAACTGGGATCAGGCTCTGCCAGAGCTCACAGGCAGGGGGGAACAGGGAACAGGGAAGGAAATCCCTCACACTCCACGAAATGGAGGCCAGCAGGAGCCGCTGTAAACATCTGCTGAGCCGGAGCTGCTTCTGCACGGATCCTCCAGCCTCAGCCCCAACGGAACACGCGCAGTTCCCAAAGAGTCCGGAGCGCTTCTCTCCCCCGAAATCCCCGCTCCTGGATCTGCTGTGGATCCTGGCAAGGCGTGGGGAGCGTCCTGGGGTGCTCAGCAGGGCACGCACAGCCCCGGAGCCTCGTAGAGCATCTCCACCAGCAGCTCGGCGATGTCGGCGTCGCCGATGACGGGCCGGAAGAACAGATCTGTGATGAGGGCGGGGGGGATGGATTTCAAGGTGGAGGCCACCAGTAAAATGTGGGAAAAGCGTCCCTGGTCCTCGGGGTGCAGCGGCTGCAGGAGCTCCTGGAGGGCTTGCTGGGCCTCCCGCTGCAGGCTCTCGATGTAGAGGGAAGCCCTCAGGCCGGGGATGTCTGGGAGGGAGAGGAGGGGAAGGTGGTGATGAAGAAGGATGGAAAACAGCCCTGGGTTTCCCCCCTGTTCCCACCCTTCCCTATTTCTCGTCTCACTGATGGGATGTACACAGCACTGCTGAGATGTGGCTGTTCCCCAGGGATGCTGTGTGAGGGAGGAAGAGCAGTTAACTGGGAAAATCAAGTAAAGGAACCTGGGGTTTGACATCTGCAGGGCAGGCAAAGTCCTCTGGCTTTTACCTCTACATTTGACATCCCTCCACCCCGCTTCCCACTGCATTTGGGAATGACCAGAATTAGGAAGAAGGTGACCAGCCCTCTCTGCCCTCACACCTGCCCAGCTCTGAGCATCTCCAGGTCTATGTTTGCCCAGGGAGCTGGTGGAGTCCCCATCCCTGGAGGTGTCCAAGGGCTGACTGGACGTGGCACTCAGTGCTCTGGTCTAGTTGACAGGGGGGTGCTCACAGGTTGGACTCGATGATCTTGGAGGCCTTTTCCACCCTCGGTGATTTCTGTGATTCTCTGTTCAGGTGCCAGCTCCGGCCGGCAGAGCCACGAGGGCCTGGCACTCACCTGGGTTGAAGAGGATGGCTCCCTTCAGGTAGGCGTATTCCTTGGGGCTCAGATCCAGGCTCCAGAAGGTGTTGAGGCAGCACTGCAGCCGCTGCACTGCGGCCAGCGTGGGCTGTGTCCTCTCAGGCTCCTGCCCTTTGCTTTGCCCGCTGAGGAGGATCTTCTTGAGCATGCTGGGGGCCGGCGCCTCCGTCACCTCGAAGGTCACCATCTCCTGCACCAGCCCCAGCAGGAAGAGGGGCACCCAGCAGCCGTCCAGCAGCAGGAGCTGGTCCTCCTTCGGCAGCAGGTGGAAGGAAGGCAGGTTTTTCATGAAGCTGATGGTTTTGACCAGCACGCCGGAGGCCGCCTGGCAGGTGACGTGGGGCGTGCGCAGCCGGACGGTGCGGCGCTGGTGGCACAGGCAGCGCTGCCGGGCCCGCCCGGGCTGCAGGTTCTGGCTGAGGAGGGTGTAGAGGATGGCAGTGTTCTTATCCTCGCCGTGGCACTGGCACCTCTCGCACTCCATGCCCGCAGCTGAGCCGGCTCCTCGGCGAAACTCCCTCCCGGTGGGAGACGGACGTGAAACCCCTCCGAAAATCTCCCTCCTCCCAGCTCTGCCAGCCCTGGGGCTGCTCCAGCCAGCTCTTATAAGGCTGGGTCACCACTGAAACACCCCTCCACAGCCTTGACCGCCCTGATTAAGCTGCCCTCATTAAAAAAAAAAAAAAAACAACAAGTCACCCAACCAGCCCCGCTGTCCCTGGGCTGATTGGCCGGGGGCAAACGAGTTCCCAGCGCTGCGTCAACAGCCGTTTTCTCAATGAATCGCAGTCCAGGCGGGTTGGGCCTTATCAGGATTACCCAAACAGGATAAACAGGGTCATTACCCCAGGCTGTACCATGGCACCAAGGCCCTCGAGCTGCCAGGAGCTCTCAGACAAACACGGGGCGCCCGTCTGGGCCCCGGCGTTCAACGGCCCGGCCTTGGCAGGAGCAAACCTGGAAGTCGCGTTATCAGCTGCTGGTTCTGCCCGGCCTTGCTCGGGAGGCTCCTGGTGTGGTTGGGAGGGGGGAAAGAGGAACCCAGGAAAGCGCCCAGGAAAGGCCACAGGTGTTGTTTTGTGGGCTGGAGAAGGGCAAATGCTCCCATGGGCAGAATGAGAGAAAAGGGGAGCTGGGGGGGTTTGGGCTCTGCTCCCAGGGATCAAGGGACAGGAGGAGAGGGAACGGCCTCAAGTTGTGCCAGGGGAGGTTCAGGTTGGATATTAGGGAAAATTTCTCCATGGAAGGGGTTATCCAGCCCTGGCACAGCTGCCCAGGGCAGTGGTGGAGTCCCCACTCCTGCAGGGATTTAAAAGCCATGTGGATGTGGCACCTGGGGACGTGGGTTATGCTGGCCTTGGCAGCACTGGGGGAACGGCTGGACTCAACTACCTCAGAGGGCTTTTCCAACCTTTGTAATTCCACGATTTTCACCATGAATTACCGGCAGAAACAGGGGGGACCTTTGAGGGAGGAGGAGGAGGAGGAGGAGGAGGGAGAACCTCCCCAGGGATCACATTGGACCCCAGCCCCGGCGTGCCGCAGAGGGGATGGGGGCGCACGCCAGGTGGCAGCGCCGGGGCCGCTCCCGTGACGGCAGAGGGTGGCGGGGGGTCCCGGTGCCCGGGGGGAGGTCCCGGTGCCCGGGGGGGGTCCCGGTGCTCGGGAGGGTTCCCAGCAAGGCCCGGGACCCCCGAAGGGCCGCGGGAACCCTCCCGGCCCGTCGCCATAGCAACCCCGACGCGCCTCGCGCCCCGCCTCCCTGGGGAAGATTGACACCACCCTCAACCAATCCGCGAAGAGCACCGCGCGGATTGACAGCCCCTCCGACCAATCCGAAAGGAGAGCGGCGCGGCGGCGCGCTGTGATTGGCGGTTGGGCAGCGGGAGCGCGCGTTTCCGCGGGCGCCGGTGGCGGTTCCGGCGGGGCCCGGTGTGGCGGCGGCGGCAGAGGCGGCAGAGGCGGCGGGATGGGGCTGAGCGCGGAGGATGCGGCCGAGCAGGAGGATCGCTTCGACGGCATGCTGCTCGCCATGGCGCAGCAGCACCAGGGCGGCGTGCGCGAGGTAGCGCCGCCGCCACGCCACGACCGGGGGGGCAGGACCGGGAGGAACGGGGCGGGCGGGGGGTGCGGCGCGGCCTTCCCGGATTCCACCCCGGCACGTGGGGCGCGGGAGGCACGTGCGGTGCTGCGGGAGCGGGAATAACGGCCCCGAGCAGCCCCGCTAGTTAATTAATTAATTAACGGGGTGTTAACGGACGGGCCTTGCACCGCTTCCCCCACCCCCGGCCCCGGTGCCTCCGCCATTCCCGGAGCTTTCCCGGAGGGTTCGGAATGCGCGGGTCACCACGGGGCAGGATGGAGCCCCTTAGCTGCTCTTTCCCACCACAACCCCGGCCCCGCGAGGCCTGACCGCGATCGTGGCTCCTGCCACACTCCTCGTGCTCAGGGATCTGCTGATCCCCCCTCACGGATCCCACCGGGATCCCCCTGGTGCTGCCCTGCAGCGGGGCTGGAGGGTGTGGGAGCCCCCCACTCACGTCCCGCTCACAAATAGTTTATAAAAACACCCACAGCAGGGAATTCCCGGGAAATGAAGGTCAACCAGGAATGGGTGTGTTCCCACAGGGGTTTGGGGGTGCTGCTTGGTAACTGTTCACTCATCGGGGACCCCTGGCAGGCAGCTGGTGGTTATTGTGCAAAAATAAAGAGTTTGCACACTTTAAGGCGTGCAAAAGAAGCAAAATGTGTTGTGTATATACATATATGTATATACATATATATATATATTCACATCCCTGCCCAAATTCCTGCCTTGGATAACAGTTTGGGGTACTGGAACAGGACCTGAGGGTGATCTGCTCCCCTTTCTTCATGCAAACCACACAAATGCCTCTTCTGGAAAGTGGGAATCGAGGAGCTGGATGTTTCCTCCAGGAAAACAGTCACAGGGCTGATTCCAGGATGGTTTTTCACAGGCACAGATGGAGAGGACAAAGGATAAGGGCTGATCCAGAGACAGGGGGTGGCTTGGAGTGACCTGGTCTCACTGAGCCTTTCCTTTTCCACCAGCTTGTGAACACCTTCTTCAGCTTCCTGAGGAGGAAGACAGATTTCTTCACTGGGGGAGAAGATGGAGTGGCAGAGAAGGTAAAAAACAAACCCCTGAGCTTTTAAACTTCTTAATTTACATCCCACCCGTGTCTGTGCCGGGCTGAGACTTCCCTGCATTTGGGTGCACTCGGGGCACCAGCAGCTCGTGGATTCCCTCCTGGAATCCATCACAGCAGAGAGGAAATCGAGGAGCTGCCCCTCTCTGAGGTGAGGAACACACGATTGCCTGCTCAGATGGCACCAACAGTGCAGGTTTTTCTTGCCAGGCTCTGGCCAAAGGCTTGTTTGGAAAGCAAACCTGCCAGACACACTGACTTAACGGTGACACACCAGGGGTGCTGATAACCCCGGGTTACCTTGTTTGTTCACCTCAGGAAGAGCACAAAGTCCACGTCCCCTGCACAGGCAGCTGCACCTTTGGCTCGGGGCTGGATGGAATGAGAGCATCACCTGTGCTGCCCTCACCCTGCTCCGAAGCTGAAAAATTCAAGTTTTACCTCAGGGAAATATTTATTGAAGCATAAAATGGCCAGGCTCCCTGAGCATTCCCTTCTTATCTATATACCAGTATAGCAGCTGTTCCTCCTCCTGGACTGCTGGAACTCCACCAGTTGGATGTGTTAGGGCAGCTTTTAGTTGCTTGCATGGGGTGTAGCATCCTCTGTCCGGTCCCTAAGGTGGCAAAGCTGAGGCAGGTAAGAAAGATAAACCCCACTGTCACTTTTCCTAGGTTAGGGAGCAAATCTCCCCAAATTCCTGGGGGCTCTGTGCTCCCAGGGAGTGAAACCCTGAGTGGCATTTCAGAGGTGAGCACTGTCCTGGCCACTGTCCCTGTCAGGTCTGTGCCTGTAGAAGAAAAGCGTTCATGTCCTCAGGTGGCACCTCTCAAAATGCTTTATGGCTTCCAGAGGAGCTGCTCTGCACTACAAAAAATGCCAGAAGCTGCTTCCCCACTCCTGCTCACCCTTTGGCATGGAAGAGAAAGAGGAGAGGGTGGGAAGATCAGTGTGGTTTTTTGGGTGCAGCCCTTGTGGTGTGGAGTGAGGGGGGTGTGGGTGACACCCACAAGCTCGGGCAGCATAAACAGTTCCCTCACCGTGGATCATCGTGGGCTTGGGGACAGAGCCTGGGAGACAACACATACACATCTTGGATCCTGTATCCCAGGAGCCACTGGACTTGCACTGTGTAAATAAATCCTGCTTTCCTCTCTGAAACAAAGCAGAAATACTCAAGGCTTGGTTACGAACTACAAGGCTTTCAACTGCGAGTTGCTGGAGAAAAGCCCCGAACCCCCCCTGGAAGTTTCTGAAACACGTATAAATCCAATTTTCCCCCTCTAATTCCTTCCTAAATCCTCCATCCTGGTGGATGTCCAGGCTCTGTCCATACTGTTTTCTGGGGCAGCCTTCAGCTCACATACGTGCTGCCCTGCACAGCACCCTTGGCTTTATCGACGTGGGGCAATTGCTCTGGCTCCCTGCCTGTGTACTCAGCTTCCCCTCTGAGCACGTGGCCGTTGGCACCAGGGACCTTGAGATTTTGCCTCTCAGTAGTCACAACAACCTTTGGGGAGTTTGGAGGGAGGTTGAAAGAAAAGATTTATGCAGGAACTGGCCCCTCTAGCGTAAAACATGGGAGCTTTTCAGGCATTTCTCGGTCGTGGCAGCTCCCTCTGGGGAAAAGCCCGGTCATGGGAAAGGTCAGAAGCAGGTAAAAAAAGCTTGGATCCGATGTCCCTGTGCTTCCAGCTGGCCTGGATGTACAGAGTAGCTGTCAGGTGGCTGGGTTGGGCATCAGTTTGTCCTGCTGGAATAGCACAAAGGACAAAATACCTGGAGAATTTTTATTCCTGTGTTATCATAATTATTTAAATATGGGATATTTTATATTTTTCCTCTCTTTTCTCTTACTTTTCTTCTCCCTTTTTCAATTAAAAGATCTCCATCTTTTCAGTCAAAACCTGAGTGAAAACCAAGGGAAAAAGTCACAACACCCGTGTGACTGAACGAATGAGCTCCCCGCCAGACCCAGTTGGCTCCATCTGGGTTTTGAGATGGGGGATTTATTTGAAAGCCCTTGTGTCTTTGCTCCTGTCTCTCAGCTGATCACAGATGCTTTCAACCACCACAACAAGCTGGCTCAGAAGGAGCGGAAGGAGAAGAAGGCCCGGCAGGAGGCCGAGCGGCGCGAGAAGGCCGAGCGTGCCGCCAAACTGGCCAAGGAAAAGCAGGAAGCCAACGAGCCAAGGATCAAGGAACTCACAGATGAGGAGGCAGAAAGGCTGCAGCTCGAAATCAACCAGGTGAGAGTGTTGTAGTTTGAGCTGAAGAGGCTGAGGCCATCTAGTGCCTGGTCAGGAAGTGACAGCAAGTGCCAGCGCTTGGCTGAGTGTTGTTTCCTTCTCTTTTGAAACAGAAGAAAGAGGCACAAGGACAGGT